CTGGGAGAGTGGAGAGATCATTCATACCAAGTAATTACTGTCTCCCTTCAAAGAAACCTGAAGATCTCTTCAAGATTTGGTTCAAAATTCTTTTATATCGCTGTGGACTTCCCCAGTCTCCCAGGGAAAGCCTGTGTTCTTTTTGGCTGTCTGATACTGGTTTTCTTCTGAACCTATTTAGAGTGAAAGGTGGAAAGCTTTCCTCACCTGTACAGGTTGTGGCTTAAAAATGCCCCCCTCTATGCCTATTTTTCACTCCAGAGCGTGCTTTATTGCAGTTGGAATGTTGCTCTGCAGAATAAATATTTGGGATTCTCACCTCCTTTGTTCCTTACTAAAAAATGGACACTTCTGAAAGTAAATTGGATAGGGAAAAAAAAAAAAAAAATGGGAGGTGATTGAAAAAGTAGTGCTTCAGGCTGGGTATAATTAACTGCTCTTTGTCTCTTGCATGCAGGACAAGTCATGGCTTAGGCTGCTTGCTGGGGGGGAGCTCCCTGCAGCGGGCATGGCTCAGCACGAGGAGAGGAGAGTGGCCCTTGGCAGGGGATCTCCACCATGGAGGACTTGCAAATCTGAGCAAATCCCTGCAAAATGACAGGGGACTTCTCTACAACTTGATTAAGAACAGTCTTAGGGACAGTTCTTGTCTGACATCAATCTGCATCTTCAGATTTAGATCTCTGAAATGTGGCTAAGATGGGATGAAAAATGAGAGAAAAAAAACACCTTGGGCAACGTGCTGGGATAGGTGAGGAGGATGTTGGTCCGGAGCTTAGTTCCCCTTCAAGAAATGAAAAGGCTGAGCCCCAGCACTGAGCAAATGGCTGTTGTTGCAGGGGAGCGAGCAGAGCCTGCTTGTGCTGTTGGCTCGGCCAGTGCCCCTTCCCCAGATACTGGTTCATTGCCAAGAGATGTAAAAAGTCATTCAAAGATTATCTGGGGTGTTTACAGCTTCCTCAGTCCCTTCTTAAATAGCTCTTGAAGGATGAAAATCAAACAGTTGCTCCTTCTGCCTCTCCAGCGCAGGGGACATAGGGGACATTCAAGTCTATCCATACAAGCCCTTTAGGCTTCTGTTAAGGTCTGCCTGAAACAGAAGAGGCTTTTGAACGGGGTGAAACAGCTTGGCAGAGGGGGGGGCTGCTTATTTCCCTTGAAGGACAGAGATGTTTATAGCTACAGTCAGGCTTCCTCCAGGGAAACTCTTTATCCCAGAAATCTGAATTGGAGTTACAGCTGTCTCCCTTCAGAGAACCAGGAACCCATGGGCTGTGGGATGATTCCTCTTTCTCCTTCCAGAGTTTGCCTGCCCTAGAATTTGTCTTCCTGGGGTCTTCCATGCCCGTCAGCTATGCCTCATGCCTTTTCCAGTGGAACCAGACTCTGTGTCCTGCCCTTGGGCTGATTCCTTGCAGGAATGGCCCGTACTTGCGTAGCTGGGGTTATACTAGAAGGAAGAAAAGTCGTTTACCAAGAAAACTAGGAGAGGAGCGAGTCATCTCCCTCACCCTCTTCTCGAGTCAGGCAAGGCTTCTGGCTCTTTGCAAGCACAGTACGTGCAGCATTTCTGAGAGCCGGCAGAATAGAGAGGCTTGAGAGTACAGTAAAATGAGTTTGCCATCAAAAGGCAACAAGTCTTACGCTGTGCCCCCGGCTGCTGACCTTTCCCTCTGGAATTCTCCCCTCTGACCTCCGGATCATTAATCCTGATGCTGCCAGATGACAGTAATCCATCATGGCCCCTGACAAGCCTTGCAGCCGCCTGTGAAAGGATCCGCTCGGCTTCAGCATCCAACTGTCCCATGATACTCGTTTTTCAGCCTTTCCTGTTTGAGTGCTGGGGGTTTCCAATAAAGACTTTATCGCCTTGCCTTTCCTCGGAGAGGGGCTGGGGGAGGAGAGGGCGGTGAGAGCAGCCTCCCCGTGCTTCTCGGCTCTTTTGCAGTCAGATCCTGTGAAACATGCAGAGCCCTGGCTGGCTCTGAAAAGTACAGTTAATTTGCCAGGTCCAAACCCCAAATCATTCTTTGCTAGCTCTGAGGGGACATTACTGGGAGGGGTACTGTGAGAAAGCACGGGAGGAAAATAATTGCGTCTCCGTGCTCAAGTGGTAGAAGGATGGAAGTAGTTTTGTCCCTGCTGTAAAGTTTCTCAGCCTGCATAAAGAAATTTTATGGGGGTCGGGCGGGAAGCTATAGATTTTAGCTTAGTTTATAAAGCTACAAATTAAATTTCAGGGGGCTTTGGTCTGCAGGTCTTGTTTAAAAGCAGACTTCAGGAAGGGAAGGTGTCAAAGGGGTAGTAACATGAGGCGGGGAGGTCAGATCTGATTGCTGTTTCTACTCCAGCTATGGGCAGGCTCTCTGGAAATACATTTATTTCCCACCGATGTAGGTAATGCTTGTCCCTTTCACAGGAGCGTTTGGATAAATACATTTGTGTACCTTTTCAGATGCTGAGATGGGAGAATCTAGAGTAGGGTAAAACTGCTTAGGATAAATGCAGTGTAAGTATATATATTAGTTTAATATAAATGTAGATGCTTCCTTATACATCTGTATTAGCGGCTTGTTTGCCTGAGGAGCCTTATCCATGACCGTTCCCTTTCACTCTCCATCTGGTCACTGTTCGAGGAGAGCTGGATGAAAGTCCCTTCTGGAGAAGTTAATGCTATTCCCTCAATTGGATTGGGGAAAAGCGGGTGGCTTTGAGTGGCACGGGGTTGCCAGAGGAGTGGGGAAAGAGTCTTGGTCCTGCCCCTGTGGAGCAGAGGCTTTGCTGGCAACGTGGTGCTGCTCAGGACACCCCAGCTTTCCCTGCCACTGGGGCAGAAACGCTGAACTGTTAGTGAAGGGGCATTTTGCGGTGGAAATAAACCACCCCTGGCTCTTCCTAGAAACCTCGGAGATAAATATTTCCCTGCTTTTCACTTGGAGTGGGCTGGGTGTGACTCTGGTTACTGTGGCTCAGCTGATGAATGATAACTGAGGGCTGGTAACATGATCGCTCCCAGCCCTCTGTGTATCTGAAATGACGCTGTTAGTGCGCTCTTAATCTTTACAATAACACACCGAGCGAGACAAAATGGTGGCTGAGGGAAAACCGAAGCAGGTTGAGGATTGCATTTACACGGGCTGGCCTTTTGGGAGGGACCAGCTCCTGGCGCGGGGCGGCCGGCTGGGATGGATGGAGCCACAGCGCGTTCAGACAGTTTGGAAGCGTCTCTGTCTCTGCTCCCTGAGGGAACTGTTGTCTGTGAAATGCAGGAAGAGGATCTGATGCAGTTTGTGAAATTACTGCTTTGTGGACTTTTCTGTCGTGGACAGGGAAGGGGTTGTTTAGACAAGGCAAGGAAAAGAGGATATGATAGATATAAAATGACAGAGCATGCAGACCAAGCCTGATCAGGTTGCTCTTTGTTTTCTTACTGTTTAAGAGTTAGTAACTTGGTGAAATTGAAGGCAGCCCTTTTAAAGCTGAAAAAGTTTACTTTGTCTATCAAACATCTCATTAACCTGTGTGAATTGGTACCAGGAGCTAATGCATAACAGGCTTCAAAAAGAAAGGAGAGAAAAAAAAAAAAAAATTACACTTACATGTATAATGAGGACATCTGCAGAGCTGAGCTGAACTCCTTTTCACTAAACAGAATAAAACCCATTTATAAGGGCCATAAACTGCTCTGCTTCGGGGCATTAACCGAATCGCTGGCTGATGAGCAGTGGCAGAAGTCTCCCCTGTGGGTTGGGTATTCCATAATTGTCCATTACAGCGCTTCGCAGGCTTTCCTGTAAAGGCTGGTGCTGACCATTGTGGTACACAGGATACTGACCTCAGATGGACGGCTCTTTGATCCAGGACAGTATTTCCTATGCAAAATAAAAGGTTTGCGACATCAGCATTTTTTTCCGCTCTTCCTCTCCTTGCCTAAACCTCATTAGCTTGACCTTTTCAAACCCTGCACGCTTTATCACTTTAAGGTGCTGCTAAAAGGGCACTGTTAGGTTAAAAATCAGCTTTGGGGGTTTTTTAACCTCTGTTAACCCACAAGATGACACAACTGAAGGGGAAGGGTAGATCTGTTTCCCTGTCTGCCCTCTCCATCTCCCCAAGGATAGAGCAGGGCCTTGTTTTGGGCTCCAGAAGGTGCTTGGATGCCCGGTGCTTCTCACCGCAGCCGCGGGGACGCCTGGCTGTGCCGTGTCGGCGATCGGGCGCGCTGATGCTCCGTTACACTGCTTGTTTGTTCACCTCCACCATCAAGACGATTCCTCTAGCATTCTAGCTACTGCTCCAGCAGCTGGGTTGCAGTTGCTGCTGAGGTGCACGCGTGGCCTCCTCGGTGTGTCACTGGGGAGCGTGTTCGGGGCGGGGGGGGAAGGAGTGGGAGGGTGAAAACGCTCTGTCGGAGCAGAAGCTGGAGCAAAACGTTAACGCACGTGCTGGGGAGGGAGGACAGAGGTAAATGTACGTGGGGGAGGGAGATGCTCTCCAGTGTCACGTACCCTTTTCTGTCGCTGTTCCCAAGCAATACAGGATAACAAATGCTGGGGGCTGAGGGAGCTGAATCCCAGCGTACGAGTAGCTCGAGTTGCCTGGCTGCTCATCCCCTTCCTGAGCACAAGCGATACAGATTTTTATCTAAGATTGCCCTGGGAGCTCATAAAAAATTATTCCTCTGTGCTGCTCCCTCGTCCCTGGGATTGAATAGTCCCTACTTCCCTTCTTTCTATTTTAGAAGCTGCTCTTAGCTGCGGGTTATTATTTGTCTGATAATTGCTTTTGCCTACAGGAAAGGATTTTTCATGAAAAGGACGTGCCATGTAGCTACACTTCTCTGGCTCATTTAATCGCCCATCGAGAGGCCTCAAGTCAGGCTACAAATAGAGTTGCCTGAATTTCCTATTAGAAAGAAGATCGATAGCCCCAACCTGCCAGTTTTCTCTCCCTCATTTTCTCTCTGACTCCATGTTTCCTTCCCTGCTGTTTCCCTGCAGGAACTCCCATCAATCGGATCCCCATCATGGCAAAGCAGATCCTGGATCTCTACATGCTCTACAAGCTGGTGACGGAGAAAGGCGGGCTGGTGGAAATCATCAACAAGAAGATCTGGCGAGAGATCACCAAAGGCCTTAATCTGCCCACTTCCATCACCAGTGCCGCATTCACGCTTCGAACCCAGTAAGTCCAGAAGATCTAACGGGGATGTGAGCACAGCGGGGATTGGGGAGTGCAAAGCAGGGACTGGGCTGGAAAAATGTGAAAGACTGAATTCTACTCCGTGGCCAGGGAAGAGCTGATAAGCTGCTTTATTTATCCCTCTCTCCCAAGGCTTGCAGTTTTTCCTTTTTATTTCCTCTCATTTTTCCGAGCAGTGGTTCTTCCTGAACTCATTCCCCCTTCCGTCCCTACAATCCCAGCACGATATGCCATCGTCTTGTTCGCTGTGCTCTGCGCCTCCCTTGCCTCTTCAGAGCTAAAACTCCTCGGGGCAAGAAGGGTCTTGCTCTGTCTCTGAAGAGCACTTGGCACAGCAAGGAGGGAGGGAGGCCTCCTGATTTGTAGGCATCAAGTATGAACTTGATCATTTAATGTCTGTTACCACTACTAAGTTGTGGAAACTTGCATTTAGCACCTACTGTGAGGATTGCTTTCCTGACGCGCAGTACCTCACATTGATTAGGTAAGCAAAGACAGAAAGAAAAAAAAAAAAGAGGGAAGAACAAGCAGAGGAAAAAGAATTATGAAAGTAAAACCTGTTGTAAAATTTAAGCAACGGGGCAAAGCTGGACTTCAGTGACTCGAGCATGGCAGGCTGGGCTCTGGGAATCCACATCCAGCTTACGCAGACTCGATTTTTTTGGAAGTTGTTAAAGTCCCAGGGAAGGAAGCTCCTTCCCATTTCTACAGCCTTTGGTACAAACGGGCTGTCTCCTGCAAACTTGTGTGCCAGAATTCAGCGAAAGCAGTAAGGCTTGGGACTGGCTAATACAAATAACTTGGGTACGGGTAATTCCTCAGACTTCCTTCCTTGTATGAAGTGTTACAGTCCAAGGTCTTAATTCTTATAATTTTAGATGGTATCTCCATTGTAAGGGAATTCTGGATGATTCTTTTCTGCCCTCGTGGGTGTAGTAGTAGGTAGCTGTATGCTTCTCTGTAAACAGCAAGTAAACTCAAAAGTTTGAGAGCTGTGCTTCCCGCTCAGACTGCTCAATACTTACCAAACCGAGCACAGCAGTGCTGGGGATGGGCTGATAGAGACTCCAGATCTGCCGAGCACCTCCGACTGAATGCAGTGCTTGTTGCTGTAGCCCATAATTTCATGTTCTAGCAAGAACCCTACTCGCCTCTCTCCCAGGTACATGAAGTACCTATATGCCTACGAATGCGAGAAGAAATCCCTCAGTTCTCCTGCTGAGCTCCAGGCTGCAATCGATGGCAACAGGCGGGAAGGCCGGCGGCCCAGCTACAGCTCCTCTTTGTTCAGCTACTCGCCCACCACCACGGGGCCTCCTTCCCTCCTGTCTCCCCCAAAGATCCGCTTCCCCATCATCGGCGTCGCGCCAGGCAGTGGGACCAGCAATCCTCGGGTGTCTCCAGCAGCAGCTGTCAGAAAAGGTCGGCTACTTGTCCTCACAGCAAAGAGGGTGGTGGGGTTAAGAGGCGCAGGCTCTGAAACACAGTCGTCTTCCGTTTCGTTCACCCCGACTGCTTGGGACTTGAGAGTAGTGGGACTTGGGTGGCTCAGGGTTTGCTGAATGCTCTGCCCGCGGTTTAAACCTTGGCGCGCTCGCGTTCGGGAGGGCTGTGGGGGGGACTAAGCGACTCCGTCCTTTCCTAGGTGACGGGGTGCCCTTGACCGTGTCTATGCCAAACCGTATTGCTGTGCCAGTGACCTTGGCTAGCCAGCAGGCAACTGTGGCGGCGAGAACAGCCACCCTCGAGCAGCTGAGGGAGAGATTGGAGTCGGGGGAGCCTCCGGAGAAGAAAGTCTCGCGGATGACGGAGGAGGAGCAGCGGCTCGTCCAGCAGGCTCTCCAGCGCAACCTGTTCAGCATGGCGCGGCAGATCCCCATGAAGATCAAAATCAATGGCAAGGGTAAGCAGCACCTCCGGGTACACCAAAGGTCTTGGCAGGCTGTGGCAGGGAGGGAGCCGCTCCCAACCTGGGATGTCAGACACCTCTTTACACGCAGGCTTGATTAACCTCTCAGGGTACCAGGCAGAGGTTACTGTCGGGAAGCTGTTAGGATGGAGCACAGCACCTGCAAAGCTCAACCGTAGCAATATTAGGGTTTACTTACCACTGCTGGTTTTATTCTGTACTTGGTGATGCGTAATCCAGCCTGGATCCAGAAGCACCCTAGCCGTGTTCAGAAAGCTCTCCATCTAAGCTGATAAAACCCACTTGACCCATACAAAGACCCTCACTCTGAGCTTATGACCTCCCGTGTTGATCACAGTGAGATTGCTTCAGGACTCAGGCTGTTGCGTCTGCACAGAACTTCCAGTGTGGAGAACTGCCGGTTTCAGTTGATGCGAGCTCGGTTGTCCTTGCAGCAGTGTTCTCTTGCCTGCCGTAAGCATGTTCCTTCCTTCGTGGGAAGCGCGTGGACTGGCCGAAATCGCTTTGGGCCACGTACCTGACCCCCTCACGTTTCACACCTGGGCTGTAGCTCAGGTCCGAGAGCACGGTGTGGCCTCGCCCGAGGCAGCCCTGTGATTCTGCAGTCAGTAAGGTGACTTTTGGAGGGGGAGCCCGTCGTGCGGCCAGATGCTCAGCTTTCCCCCACCCTCACCCGAGCCTCGTGCCAGCGTTGTGCTGCAGGGAATGAATTTCTAGCCTTTCCTGGGCAGGAGCCCTTTTAACTGATCGTGGAGGGAACAGTTTTTTCCAGGCGGGTAGCAGACTGCAGGAGATGGGGGAGAGAGATGCCCAGCTTTTAGGAATCCTTTGTCAGGTGTGGGGAGAAGGCCACAGAGACCTGTGTATCCGTGGGGGGGGCCTGATGCATCACAGGGCTTTTAGCAAGTCAGGTGATTTCTACCAACATCTGCTGCAGCCCTCCGCACAGCCTGCAGGCAGAGAACTCCTGGCAAGGCTGGGTTAGAAGGTCACGTATAAGCAGCATTCATGGCCTGGGAAATGCACTCCTGAAATGCTTTGTAAAAGGGGAGTCACCCCGTAAAGGTCACGTTGTCAGAATCAATACTGCTATATAGTGGCTTCAAAAGCTGATGAAGTGCCGCGGCTCCCTTACCTGTCCCGGGGGCTGCACTTCACTGGACAGCAAAGCCTCAGAAAATTTCAGTCCCAACAGCTGCTTCCTCCAAACCTTTTGATCCATTAAAATTAAAGGTCTCAGACCCCTTATTAATTGTACATTTGGATGTAGACACAAGGCCAGGCAAGTTTGGCACGGCTCAGAAGAAAGGGAAGAGCTCTTCTTGAGGCCTTTGCTAGCAATGTTGGTAAATGCTTTATTGAAACGCTTTGCCAGAAATAAATACGGCAAAGGGTCAAAGCGGGTTCCTCTTTGAAGCAGCAGCAGCTTGCTGTGGAGTAAAATGGGATTGGGACTTCACACCGCAGTTCCTGGCAGCTACACGTCCACCTAAATTTCACATTTACCTAAAAGAAAGGCAAAAGTAGCGAGTAAAAGGGAATACAGATTTTAACAAGTAATGTTCATTCCCTCTCATCTCACTTTATTTTTTTTTTTTTCCTCTCCACCCTGAACTTCCTAAATCAAAATGCTAGGAACAATTCCAGTCTCTGCAAGTAGTAACAGGCTGAGGGCTGAGCCCTAAAGATTCAGTGATACTATTCCTGCTTTTGTTAGCTGACTGTGGGCACATCTGTCCTTTGTTGCCCTAATTTTTCCAATTGCAAAATAAAAAGAAGATTGTGCTTTGTCAAGTGTTTCGAGGGGTGCTTTTGAAAAGCACCACGTGAGCTTATCATAGCTTGATAACAACATTTAGGTTAACTGTTAACAGTGTCCTGAGCGTTCTTTACAGGGATGGCGGACTTGCAGCAGACCCCAGCAGACCTGAAAGGCGTTAAAAACATGCATTTTTCCATGCAATGTCAGAGCGTGAGCAGACTGTCTGCGTAATTGCTCTCTGTTTTAATAGCCCGAGGCCCCCCCAAACCAACGTGGGGTGGGTGGGCTGGTGATACGGCTGTGCAAACCGTGAGCGCGCCGAGGCAATCCTGCAACCCGGGCTCCCGGGCACGGCTTGCTTCGCTCGGAGGTTCAGGAGCATCTGGGAGAGTTTTGACGTTCAGCTCCCCTTAAGCATCAGTGTAAATTGAACCCCTGCCCTGCACTGACTCTGCCAGAGCTGCTCGGCTCGGCTTAGAAAGGACTCTCCGGGCTGAGGACCCAGGAGTAAAACTTGACGCTGTGGCTTGTCCCCTCCCTCCAGCGGCCGCTGGAGCTGCTGCAGTCTGAGCCCTGCATGGGCAGTCACACCAGCCCTGCCTTCCCCCCCCCCCCCCCCCAAAAAAAAAGCTGCCACCCCTCAGCGAAGGGGTAGAGGGCTGTGCCCGTGCTCCCAGGCTGCTGCAAACACAGCCACCATCCAGCCCGTTTCAATACAGTCTTGGCTCGGGCGCTGGCAGCTGGTTTGTTTTGTCGGGGGGGGGGGGGGGGGGGGGCGGATGTTAATTTGGCCCTTGCAGCGTGCAAGTCAGGGAGGGGTTTGCAAACGCCAGCTGAGCTCCCAACTTACCCTCAGTTCACACTTTATCTTCGTAGACTTAGAGGACTGGAAGGCGGGCATCGTGTGGGGCTTTCCTCCCCGGAGAGGAGACAGATGCACGCCTTTGAACATCTCTGGCTAGTGCAGGGAACAGGGCAGTTACTCTCTAACTCTGGATCTCTTCTTTCTTGGAAGAAGATAAACCAGACTCGGCGGCGGCGGCGGCAGCACTGAATTTGTCACCTAACGGCATTGGGAGTATTAACATGTCGGTGGAGATGAACGGCACAATTTACACTGGTGAGAAGGAACCGCCGCGGGGGGACGGGGGGTGCGGAGAGGGCGGCGTGCTCCCAGGGGCTGGGCTTTGCCAGAGCACACCCCACGCAACCTGCCTGGCTTAGAAAGCTCAGCAGGAGATGATTTCTGTTCCCTTGGGGTTTGTGTGGTGCTAGGCAGGCAGTCGAGATGAATGCCCTTTCCTGGTGGTGGTGGTGGTGGTCGTTAGTATTTGTAAAAGCTAAGGGAAGGGACTTCTATTAGAAGTGTTAAGGAGTATTTTCCCTTTTCTCCTGCCGAGGAGTGGCTTTACTCAGCTTTTCCTCACGCTTCTCTGGGACGCAGGAATTGTCCCCTGTGCTCTGCTGAAGCTGTTTCCCTTCTGCAGGGCCCACACACGCACCCCTGGACAAAGCCCCGGTGGGAAGCCTGGCACTGCGGTGCGATGAAAGGTTGCTTCTCTCCTCCAAAGGGTTGTTTGAAGCCGTTTGGGATCTTTATCCCTGTGACAGAGGCTGCCAGAACAAGCCCTGGGGGAGTCCCTTCCTAGATCCTTGTCACCACCGATCTGTCTCCAAGCCTGCTTGTCTTACTGAGCCTCTTTCTGCTGGGCTGAGCTCTCTGGGGTTGGACCCACCACCCTTTGCCCCGCGCCCTATCCTCAGCCGTGCCACCCCGTGGTCCCAGTAACCCTTCTCTTTACCTCTCCCTCTGCCTTGCAGGAGTGCTCTTTGCCCAGAAGCCAGTCGTCCATCTCATTGCAGGCTCCAGCACCCAAAGTTCCTGCAGCAGCAGCAGCAGCTCCCACTGCTCTCCCAGCCCTACCTCATCCCGGGGAACCCCCAGCGCAGAGCCCTCCACCAGCTGGTCTCTCTGATGGACGGCCGAGCCTGCTGTCTCTCACACTGGCCTCCGGCAGCTCTTCCTCTCTGTTCTGGGCAGGGAGCGAGCCGGGAAGGAGTCGCACAGATTTACCTCATCTCAAGGAACCTGCTTTTGTGGTTGGCCAACGGCAAGATGATGATGATGATGCTGAAACCTTTCCATGCCAGCGAGTTTTTCTTCATCGTCTGTTTGTCCAGCCTTTTTCTTCGTTCTCCCCCTTTCTTCCTCCCTTTTGCTTTTTGTTTTCTGCCTCCTCCTCCCAGGGTTTGCTGTGTTCCTGTTGGGGGGTGGGATATGGAAGGGGGGGGGGGGGGGTGGGGGGGGGCACGCCTGGCGTTTTTCAATCAGGGATCGTCTCTAGGAGCTGCGGGTTGAGAGATGGCTGAGACGTCACCAAGGCAGGTGGAAAGAGCTGGAGTTGGGGCAGGGAAACTTGGTTCTCCCCGAACCAGGAGCCACAAGGACTCTTCCCACAAAACAGCTCTGTGTTGTGACAATCCTAAGAGCCAGCGGGGTGCCTTGCCCCTGTCCTCCCGTGGCTTGTGCTGCAGAAGGCCGCGTGGCCGCCGAGCAGGCGAGCTTCCTCGCTTTTTTCCAGGCTCTGTTGTGGTCCGGCGTTCTAGGTCCTCCCCTAGAACACGTGCTCTTGGCTCGTGAGCGTCCTTTCCCCTTTCTGAGGTCTTGGCAAGAGAGGGGAAGGACTTGCCCGCCGCTACGCTTGACCCACAGACACATTAAAAACCTCTCGATCAGCTGCTTCCTTCTCCTGGCTGGTGCTGGCCTCTCCCCTACCGTTGCCTTCTTTCAGCCAAGTTTTCAATGCCCTCCACCTTGTCTCTCCCCACCCCACCTTGAGGAACTCATCCCACTGACATTTACCCTGATGGCTTGGTGTTTTGATCCTCTGCCCCCTTGACACAAAAGGGCTGTCCTTTAGGTTGAGCTAGGCTTCCTGGAGCGGCTCCCTTCTCGTAAGGCGTCATTCAGTAGCCCCTGGCAGCTCTCCCCATCCGTGCGCTGAGAAAATAGAAGGCGGTATCTGAGGTGGAATTGAGCGGGGCTGTGCGGTGTGGCTGTAGGGGTTGCAGTTCACGCTGCACGTGTGGTTGGTTGGTTGGTCCCTGAACCAGCCTCCAGGAGCCCGGTCCCCTTCAAATCGTACGTGAGCGGAAAAAAAAAAAAAAGTGGCTCTCAGTTGAGTAAGACCTTTTGGGTGGAAGCAGAGAAAAGGAAATCAAGCCCGCCCTTTCCCCTCAAAGCTCCAGTTGAAAGCAAGCGAAGGCTGGCCCTGGCTCTCCTGTGCCTGGAGCCAACCAAGCTGACTTAGTGACTCCACGAACTCAGCTCCTGCTCAGGGGGCCTCGTTCTGTCCCCTCTCTCCTGGCCTTTCCCACACGGCGCTTTCCCCAGCCTGGAGATCAGATCCAAGCACCATCCATCCATCCTGCCCTGGTGACGTCCTTCCCATCCTCCAGGCCCAAGTCAGGTTTTTTTGAGCAGTTGAAATACCTCAGATACATACTTGTTGTTGGTTTTTTTTTTTGTTTGTTTGTTTTGGGTTGGGTTTTTTTAACCTCTTCAGGAAGTATTGGCATATCTTATCGCTTGTTTTTTATATGTGGTTTTGCTGACATTGTGTTGTTTTGTTTTGGTTTTTTTTTATTTTATTTTTAATTGCATCACCAAAGAAAAAAAAATGGCTGAGTAAAGGAGCAGTGGCTGCCGCATCCTTTAGGCCAGCAGCAGACAGGCTGACCAGCATTGTCCCAAGACACGTGCATGACACAGGAGGACAGGTAGAGGTAGGAAAAGACAGCGAGAGCGACTGCTTGCTCGGAAGATCTGTCCTTCAGGTGGGACACAAGGGTGTCTCCAAAGTCCCTATTATTTTTCCAAGCTCCAGAATCCGTGCTTACCTTCAGCAAAGCCGCTTAGAGCAGGTGGGAGCTGCCGGCACCGCTTACACTACAGATGGGCCAAGCTTCTGGCACCTGAAAGCACAGCTTGGTCCTGGGACGCTGCCCCCCAGCCACCTCCTCGGCTGTGCTGGGGCTCGGCTTCCCCAGACCCAGCTAATTCAGTCCACGCCACCAGGCTAAGCCACGCTGGCCTTTGAGAGAGGCACCAAATTAAGGAGTTACTCTTAATTTTTCACCTGTTTGTAGTAACAACCGCCTGAGCCAGTCCCGTAGATCACGATCCAAGTGAAAGCCACGTTGAGGACTCCAGAGGTTCGGCCGGCTCCAAATCGGTTTCTTGGAGGGCGGTGGGCGAGTCGCCTTGTGCCACAGCGGTATGAGGAGAGGTGGTCACCTTTTATCCGCTCCCGCGGGCGAGCGGAGCTGCTGGGAGCCGTCGGCTCCGTGCAGGACGGGGAGGCTCGAGGTGCTGCTGCTGTCAGAGGCTGTTGCCCTGCCTGCACTGCCGAGCCCAAGCTCAGCCTAGAATTATTTTATACTACTGAAAAGAGCACGGCTTTAAAAAAAAAAAACACCAAGCCAGATACTGCCCCAGGAAAATCCCAGTCGGCAGCTTGAGGGCCGGGTTTAAAAAAGGTAGATAGAAAACAAAATGAATAATCCTTTCAACTCTCAAATGGCAGGTTCTCCTTTTCAATCCCCCCCCCCAGCACCGCTTGGCTGGGCCACTGCTCTGTCCTGGGGAGCGGAGCGCTCGTGGAACCACGCTCCTGCTTGCCAGAGGCGCTGTGCTCTCTGCGTTACTCTACACGCTATGACTTGAGTTCCCCCCCGCGGGAGGGTTTGGGGGGAGGAGGAGGAGGAGGAGAAGTGGGTGAGAATGCACACAGCCCCGGGGGGGGGGCGCTGCGGCTGCTTGGAGCCGAGCAGGGACCCCCCTGGCCCAGCCCGGGGGAGCGGGGGCTGCTCTGAGGCTGCCGGGCGTTTGCCCAGCAGATCCCACGGGCCTCCCGTGGCATTTCAGCCTCGCAGGCTCGGAGAGGATTTTCCAGACTCTGGGGCTCATTCAGATTGTTTTTGTTTTGTTTTTTTTTGTTTTTTTTTCCCCTATTTTGTTTTCTTTTGATTGTTTTTTTTTTTTTTGAGGGGGGGAGGAGGGGATTGTTTTTTGTTTTGTTTTTTATCTGGGGGTGGGGTTGGGGGCTGTTTCCTCTGAGTGGGACTGGGGCACTTTTTGCTTTTCCTAATGCTTTCTTCTCTGGTCCTGGGGAGCAGAGGTTAGTAATGGGTGGTTTTGCTTATGTATCACATGCTAACATTGTGTTTTCTTGCACAGAAAGGCACTCGAATCACTGAACTGCTAAACAGCTTTGACACTACTAGAGTATTAATGTTTATAAGCTTTACACAACTAGACTGGAACTAGACAGGGACTAACAGATTGTTTTGTATTCAATTCAGGGAAAGAATCAAGTTGGGATGTGTAACAGATACCTCAGTAAAAATAAGCTGCAACAATAAACTGGTCCTTTTCTCAGTACACGACGAGGACCAGCCGTTCAGACTGTGAAGAGTAACCCTTGCCCCGAGCCTGGCTTTGATACTGGCAGTTGGCTTAATGCGCGTTTCGCTGAGCTCCAGGTCTCCTACTGAGCTGCCAGGCTTTGGGGACGGGGTTAGGGAAACCAGCAGCAGAGACGGGGCGGAGGAGCCGGGGGGGGCTGGGGAAGGCTGAGCAAGGGGTGGCGGATCCCCCCCCCCCCCCCAACTCTCCCCGGCTCCGCTTCATTTCACTCGACCGTGTTCGATTGTATAGTACTCAGGGGTTTTGATACTGCGGGTAGGACTGTTCCTCGCGTGAAGTGCTCCGCTTTGCAGTGTGGCTAATTCTCTTTCAACTCCAGCGAAGGTTTTGCAGCGAGCAGCCAAAAAAAAAGAAAAAAAAAAAAAAAACACAAACCAGCCCCCCAGCTTGCTTTTGTGCAGCCTTGATGTTCCTGTTTCAGGGGGAGATTTGCCAGCTGGGTTTGATGCCCAGCTAGGGGAGAAAAAAAAAAAAAAAAAATCACAAAAAAAAGAGAAAACCAAACCTGCTTATCCTCTTCCAGCAGATCCCAGTTTATGCTGGGAAGGCACAAAAATTGTGAGCTGGGAAAGGGGGAAGAGGTGAGGGGGAGGCTGCGCAACTGCTCGACTCCCAAAGTGAATGTGAACGTGTCACACCAAGTCCTTTTGGCCGCTGCCTGCGTGTGTGTGCTCCAGATGCATCCAGATCAGAAGATGTTTTCACCAAACAGCTGCAGCAGCCTTGCTACTAGTTTTCTTACCTATTTAAAAAAAAAAAAAAATAAAAAAAATGTGATAGCCTAGACGGTGGATAAATACCTCAACGTCTCCTTCCAACAAGTGTCTGTATATGTTGTTGTTGGGTTTTTTCTATCTTACACGTTATCTGAATGTTTATATTCCAATAAACTTCTACCTCTTCACATGGTGACCCCGCAAGTCTGATTTGTGGCCGCGCCGGTTGGCTAAAGTGTGAGGTAAAGATTTCCCAGCCCCTTTTTCACCCTGGGAGAGTATTACCAGAGGCTGGGGCAGCCTGGCTGAGGTCTGTGTGCTCGGAGGTCTTTCTGCTCCCGGCTCGTACCTGTGCGGAGAGAACTGGGCTGTAAACCTGGTGTGGCGGGATGCAGGTTCGGAGCGGTGGCTGGAAAGGAGCTGGGTGCTTGTGGGGTGAAGTGGGGGGGTCGGATGTTGGTTGGGAAACCCCCCTCCGCAGAGCCGCGGGGGGGGAACAGACACTAAAGCCACGAGTGAGGCGGCTTTTCCCCTTTCCTGGGCACTGCTGAAGGGCTCGTGGCTGTACCTGCCCCGTGCCCAGCCACGGCCAGGCTGGGGCTCCCAAATCCCTCCCGTGTCGCCGCCTCCTCCGCACAAAAAGGACGTTCAATGCTTCCCGACGATTTTGCTGTTTACACGGCGCTTGGACCTCGGTTTTCCAGTCATGGAACCAGTCGAAGAGGAACTGGTTTCCAGCCCTTTTCGGCCCCGCGTTTCCGACGCCCGTGTTTGTTCTGGGGCGGGGAAGACCCACGACCTCCCCGTGCTGGGATGTCATTTGGGTTTACCTCACCGGGGCCGGGGCGGGATGCTGGAAACCAGTAAGTTGGCTCCGCTCTGAGCGAGCAGCGGGGCCCGGACTGGCGCGCTCGCGCAGCACCCAAGCGGCAAAATTCAGCTGCCTCCGCTGGGTTCACCCCACGCCGCGGGGGAAGAGCCGTGCCCGGGTTTTACAGCCACCCCCAGGGCCCCGGTTATCGGAGGAGAGCGGGCTCGCCTCGCCCGGGCTCGGGTCCCAGCCTATCCGAGCAGCGGGCAGGTGGAGGCCGAGCTTTTCCCCCCCGGCGTTTCCTCCCCTCCTGCCCACCAGCGGGTTCAGCTTTTCCCAGCTCCAACTTTTCCCCGCCTGAGCTCAGCTGAGACGGCTCAAGGGCTCAACTGCCCTTAAAAGCCAGATGCCCGAAGCAGGTAAGGTGGGTTCCGGCAATGGAAGTTGGGGGGGGGACCCCCCAACACCTCGGTGTGCGCTGCCGTGGGGTTTATCCGCCGGCAGCCTTCAAACCGGAGACGGGAAGGTGCTGACCCCAGTGCTGGGCTGGAGGGGATCTCCTCCCCGGCTCCAGGGGTGCTCAGAGTCCTGGTCTCAAGTGTGTGTGTGGAGGGGGGGGGGGGGGGGGCGGGGGGGTTCGTGGTGGCCGCCCCAACCTCACCGCCGAGGTGGGGGGCCATCCCTGCAGCTCTCCCAGCCTCCAGCCCCATTACCCTGCGGCACCCTCCAGCACCCAGCAGCAGGCACCCAAAGGGACCCGATACACCTTCCCCACCACCCTACAGACCAGTGGGGGGGGGCTGTACGCCCCCGGGGTGGCCACGCTCCAGCCCTCCCAACTCCCTTTCCCAGGGGCTGCATGGCCACGGGCGTTGTTTGGGCTGGAATATAATCCTCCAGGCAAATTCAGATCCCAACCCCCCTTCCCTCCATCCCTCCCCTAAACGCTGCTATTCACCGCTCATCCCGGCCGCAACCTCGCTTCCCTAACAAATAACAAAAGGCTAAAGAGAGCCCAGGGCGGATTAAAGCATCTGGGTAGGACAGCCCAGCCCCACCATGTGAGACACCGCTTTCTTCTCTCTTTCAAACATTAAGATCCCTTGCTCAGGCTCTGGCAGAGCTTTGTCCAGTCCCTGTTCTCCATAATCCCTCGCCGCAGGGCTGGAGGCGAAGCCAGCTCCGGGCACGGGGAGGTTTTGCGCTGGCCCAGCGACATTCGCGTCGGCGCTTGTCGCCCACCTCCGCAACCCCAAGTTTCCTAAGAAACTTCAGGCGCAGGAGTTCGGTTCCCTGGTCCTTAAATGGGCAGAGCTGCCACCCTGCTCAGCTCCCAGGGAGCCCAAAACCCCACGGGCATCTCTGACAGGAGGGAAAAAGCCCAGCTCATTGCCTGCAGGACGTCGGTCCTCTGGGCACAGCTCAGGGAGGGGGTTCCCCCTCTTTGGGGGCCAGGTTTGTGTATATAACAACTCAGCGACCGTTGCCGGCTTGCATCCAGCTCAGACACCCCCAAATCCCTACCCTGCAGGTGCCCCCCCCCAGGCCCCTCCGGCAGCACCGGTGCCTCCCCACCCATTTCGTGCCCCCACCAAGCAAGCAGCTAATCATCAGTCGTGCCCAACCTGTGTTGGCCTGGCAGCGGGGCTGATAAAAGCCACTTCTTCCACGGCCCTTATCGTCCCCCGGGGCGAGGCCGGGTTTGTTTTAGCCCCGTCAGAGCCGGACTGATGTCAGGCTGCCCGTGCCTGCAGATGCCAAGCACGGGCCTGGCCCCGCCGGCTCCTCTCTCACTTTCAGCCTCTGGGGATGCTCCAGTTCGATCCCAGCTTGCAAAAACGGAGCGGGGTGGGTCCCAGGTCCGGGCAGGGGAGGTGGGCGCCCATGTCTTGCTGCTCGCCCGGTGCTCCATCGCCCACGGAGAGCCACCGGTAACGGCGCCCGTTTCCTTCCAGCACATTTGCAGGTCTTCCTCGGCGCGGGGCTGGCCCTGCTCTGCCTCAGCATCCTCCTGGGCTGCGCCGTGTGCTGGCAGCACCGGCGGCGCCCGGGTCCCCGCCGCGGCCGGGAGCGGGCGATGGTGATACTGGGACCCTCTCTGCCCGCCGCGACGGTGCCGGTGCCCGTCCAGCGGCACTACGAGGAGGTGACAGGAGAGGCGCCGGGCACCCGGGTGGAGGAGGGTCCCCCGGCACCCCGCGGGGGTTTGCTCCCCAGCAGAACCTCCTTGCCCAGCCTCCCCGTCTCCCCAAAGAGCCAACCCCGTCTCCCCAGAGCCAACCCCTTCTTCAACGAGGAGAGCCCGCTGGTGGTGCGCCCCAGCCCGGCACCCCCCACCCCGCTGCCCTCCGGCACGGGCCCCAAGCAGCGTCCCCGGCTCCACTGTGACTTGTCCTACTCGCCGGCCGAGGCCACGCTCACCGTGACGGTCCTCGGCGTCTCCCGTCTGCCCGAGGGGCTGCAGGGCAACCGGGGCTCCTACGTCAAGGTGTACGTGCTGCCGCGGTTCCCGGCGTCCCGGCGCACGGCCCTGGGGCACAGCAGCCTCCACCCTGCCCGCCGGGAGCCGTGCCGGTTCGGCCGGTACAGCCTGGAGGAGGTGAGGAGCTTCACCCTGCGCTTCGCCGTCTACGCCAGGTTTCGCAGCCTCAAGGACTCCTTCGTGGGAGAGGTCCTCTTCCCCTGCGCTCAGGCCACCTGGGATCCCCGGGGGGCTTCTAGCTACAGCTGGGAGCTGTCGAGCACCAAAACCAAGCTCAGAAAGGTCAGGACAGCCGCGGTCTCCAACACGGAGCGGGGCGGGGGGGTTGTCCTCATGTTTGGGCTCAGGTCTGCTGGGTCTCAGAGCCCCAAAACTCCACGGTGAGAGCCAGAGCCTCCTCCAAGCATCACCTGGGGGGAGGCAGCGGGAGGGATTGAAGGCGCTGAGGCAGCAGCCCCCCCCCGTCCCCGCGGTGCCCTCCGTCGCAGCGCAGGTTCCCGAGCCGCCCACAGTTAACATCCATCGACCGCACAAGCTTCGCTAAAGGTGGGGGTGCTGGGGTGGAAGGGATAAAAGCAGAGCTGGCACCGCCCTTGCAGTGACGGCAAGCATCAAATTCACCTTCTGGACTCGTTTTTGCCCATTCTTGCCCCGCCCGTAGCGTAGGTGGGAGACACGTGTCCCTGAGTTGGAGGGGCTGGCTGAGGCTGGAGAAGGTTTCGCGGCATCTCCCGCTCCCTGATCTCATTGCAGTGCCTCAGCGCCCACGACACGAGCCACGGAGTCCTCTCCTCCCCACCGAAACCCCTCGGCCAGCTCTTCCTTCTCCTCCAGTACCAAGCTCTGGCCAGTCGCATCAAGGTGCTGGTCTGCAAGGCAGAGCACCTCGGCCGGCTCTCGCGCGTGCCGGGCACGCCAGGTAGGGCACCAGGCCTGGCCGGGGGGCGAGGAGATGCCCAGGTGGGCACAGGGAATGCGTTCCCCTCCTTTTGCTCAGCAGATTGTCTAATTTCCCCTTGAACTTCTCTTTTCTAAGCAAAACGAGTGCAGGTAGCGCAACTAGGATCTAGATACGGCCCCAAAATGCTTAAAATATACATATTTATGGTAAAAAAAAAAAAAAAATAGCACATGGCTTTGTGTCCTGCTGGCTGTTGTCATCTCTGCCCCCCCCCCCAGCTCATGAAAGCCTGGGATGCGGGCAGGGATGTGAGCTCAGGACTCTGGAGGTCCTTGCTCCCGACCGGGGAGGGGTAGGAGCAACCAAGACGGAGAGCATCACTCTGTCCTGGCCCCACAGCTCCGCAGAGCCCCACGGAGGCCTTGTAGCCCCCGGCTTGGCTGCCCATGCGGCGCAGGAATCTGGCTTGTGAAGCTCCAGCCTCCCTCCTTGGTGCGTGGGGAGAGCAGGTCCCTCTCACCGAGCCTCCGTCTCCGCTTCCAGGCCACTACGTCATCATCCGCCTTCACCACGACGGCCACGTCATCGACACCAAGGAGACCAAGTCCGTCACCAGCTACAACCCCGTCTGGAACATGCCCTTCCTCTTCAGCCTCCCCGCTGGGGACATCCAGCAGCTAGAGCTGTCCTTGGAGTTCACCGTCATGCAGGTGAGCAGGGCGGAGGTGACCACGGCCAAGAAGGTGGCCTGGATCACCCACGCTCAGGAGCTGCTCCTGAAACCGGGGGTGTCAACCGCGGGGGCAAGCTCGAAGGAGCTATTTCTTGCTGCCCACCGGAGGTTGGTGGGGTGGGGTTGGTCTTCTTGGGGTAAGGGGTGTTTCTAGCTCTGCTTGAAGGCCATCAACCGTGTCCCACCCCGCCTCTGCCCCTCTCCCCGCCACAGGCTCGCCTCTGCACCCGCAGCTCCCCGCTGGGCCGCGTGCGGGTGGGTCCCTGCGCCCCCGGGGCTGGGCTGCTGCACTGGAGGGAGATGTGCAGCCGGGGACAGCTGGAGGTGGCACGGTGGCACCAGATCCAGCCTGACGCCCTCGGATGCTGATCTTGCCCGAAACCCCTAGGCAGGGCTTGCCCGGGACTCGGCTGTCCACGGGAGTGAGAGAAGGGAGAACTCTGAGCCTTGGAGAGGTGAGGTCTCAGCCCGCACAGCGTCATGGGCGAAGCCTGGGCTCTGTCTCCAAGGGCTGGAGATCGGTGGTGGTCGGCACAGCCCTCTTCTGAGCAGCTTCGGAGGGGAACGAGCCCGTCTGAGATGGCTTCAGGCGTGGGGAGGGAAGAGGAGCCTTTCTCCGCTGCGCCCACCAAACACCCGCTCGGTGCCCACACCTGGAGCGAGCCCTGAGCGCCTGAAACCTTGGCTGTGGTAGGAGATGGGTGGGAAGGTCACCCGACTGGGAGACCAGTCACCACGGTGGTGGTGTCGACTGCCCCTTCTAACCCACCATCCCCAGCCCACCCTCTCCACCCAGTCCCACAGCAGTGAAGACCATCGCCAGACCCTTCCCCATCACCGCAGGCTGGGACACACCCTGCTCTGCTCCTCGGCGAGAAGAACCACAAGGTCTCACCAACAGTGCCCCAACCCTCCCTGCACCAAAAGGTGTTCATCGGCATTTTTAATTAACTGCTGGCTCAAACGAGTGCTCAATAAAATAAATACAGCGGTTGAGCAGGATTGCATGTGCAGAGTTAATTGAAGCTCTTCCCTATCCCGGTGCTTTTTGCTCGGCTGTGCCCCAGGCCAGTGGTGTCCATGGTTTTTAGGAGCAAGAACTGTCCTCCAGAGCGGTGGCCTGGGTGGGAGGGGATGGTCACCTACTCGTAGGGCAGGAGGGAGCAAAGCCCCACTCACGTAACGCCTGTGTGGTGCTAATTAGTAAATCAACAGGACTGAGGCCCTCTTTCCACACAGATTAATTGGACGCTGAACCTCTTCCACCAGCTCCTCGCCCCTCGGGGCCGTGACCCGTGTCCAGCCCCAAGGGCAGGTCCCCGTGGGGACACCGGTGGCTCTCAGCCCTGACTGGTGGAAGGAGAGTGTCTGGAGAGCCCGCGGGGGGGAGAAGGTGGATGGGCCACAGAGGCACAGATCGTAGCCAGGGGCATCCTGGTGAGGATTGTCATGGTGAGGAAGGCCACGGCGAGGACTGTCAGTGTGAGGAGAGTTGTAGTGAAGAAGGTCCAGTGGTGAGGAAGGCCCAATGGTGAAGGACACGGTGAGGATGGCCATGGTGAGGAAGGTCATGGTGAGACTAAGGATGGCCATGGTGAGGAAGGCTGTGGTAAGGATCACTGTGGTGAGGACAGCCACAGCGAGGAAGGTTGTGGCGAGGAAGGTCATGGAGAGGAAGGTTGTGGTCAAGAAGTTCACGGTGAGGATGGCCACGGTGAGGAAGGTTGTGGCGAGGAAGGTCATGGAGAGGAAGGTTGTGGTCAAGAAGTTCACGGTGAGGATGGCCACGGTGAGGAAGGTCATGGTGAGGAAGGTCATGGTGAGGAAGGCCAAAGTGGGGAAGGTTATGGCAAGGCAGACCATGGGAAAGAAGGCCATGTTGAGGATGGCCATGGTGAGGAAGGTCATGGTGAGACTAAGGATGGCCACGGTGAGGGTGAGGATGGCCATGGTGAGGAAGGCCATGTGGAGGATGGCTGTGGTGAGGATGGCCACAGCGAGGAAGGCTGCGGTGAGGAAGGCCATGGAGAGGAAGGTTGTGGTGAAGAAGTTCACGGTGAGGATGGCCACGGTAAGGAAGGTCACGGTGAGGAAGGCCAGAGTGAGGAAGGTCATGGCGAGGAAGACCAGGGGGAAGAAGGCTGTGTTGAAGATGACCATGTTGAGGATGCCCATGGTGAGGAAGGTCATGGTGAGGAAGGCTGTGGTGAGGCAGACCGCGGTGAGGAAGGCCGTGCAGGGGTGCGGTGGGCTGTGCCGAACCCCCCACCCCCCCCCACACCCAATAACGTCAGAGCGGCGCGGCCCGGCCCGGCGCGGCAGGGGTTAACCGCGACCTCCGGGAGCACCGAGCGGCGGCGGGAGCGGCCGGGGGCGGAGCCGCTCTGGCCGCGGCGGAAGCCGGAAGCGGAAGGAGGAGGAGGAGGAGGAGGAGGAGGAGCGGGAGCGGCGGCGCCGCGGGGCCGGAGGGGCCGGGCCGCAGCCGCCGAGCGCGGCGCGGAGGGGAGCGGAGGGGCGGTGAGCCAGCGGGGCCGGGCCCGGGGGCACCCGGGGCGGGGTGGGGCCCGGGATCGTACGCGGGAGCGGCCGGGCGCCGGGCTCCCCCCCGCTCCCGTTCCGCTGAGAAGCGGTTAGGGCGGGTTGCGCGGCCGCGGAGGGCGAAACCGCTTTGTACACGGAGAAATAACCCTTGAGGTCGCCGTGGCCGCGCCTCGCTGCGCCCTTCGGGGTGGACGCGGTCCCCGCTCCGCGTCAGGGAGGCGCGGGGGGGGACGGACACGCGGCGGACACACGGGCACGGCTCTCCACGCCCCCCCCCCCCCACGGCGGGGAGTGGGTTTTAAGGGTGGGGAACCCGTTGTCTCCCGCAGATGCATCACTGCAAGAGGTACCGGTCCCCGGAGCCCGAGAGCTGCCTGGGCCAGCGCTGGAAGAGGAGGAGGTCCCGCAGCAGGGACTGCGAGGGGAGGCTGCGGTACCCACCCCGCAGGGATCCCGCCAGGAGATCGAGAAGGTGAGGGACCCTCCTCCTCCACCCCCCGGCGCGTTTCCTCACTGCCTTCAAACCCCTAAACCCCAGCGACGGCGCTAAAGGCCTTGGCTGTGTGTCTTTTCCCTTACGCATCCCTGCGCCTAGCCAAAAGTTCTTCCCCAAGCGACACCTTTAATATATAATGAAGGAGAACAGCTCGCCTTGGACTCACGTTTCCCACCTCGTAATGCTGCAGGGGCCCTTAAAGTCTTTCCCGACAGCCCATTTCCTTCTGAAACCATCACAAATCGGGTCTAAAGCAACACCCCTCTCCCCCTCACCTACGCTGCCAGCAAGGGCAGGAGTGTCGAGGGCGGGAGTGTCGCTGACTCCCGGGGGTTTTACCTTTGATCCTCTCTTTGTCTGACGTTTCCACCGGGACAGTTGGGAACGGGGTGGACGAGGCCCCAGGGCGGGAACAGGAGCCACGCCGAGGGCTTTGGGGGTGCGCCCGGAATCAGCCAGGAGGGAGCTGAGTTCATCTTTACATTCCTGACATCTCCTACAACCTTATTTCTCTTCTGAGCCTGGTTTTCGTTTACTTGAAGGAAGCAGATCGCGCAAACGCAGCTGATGCCTCCAGCAGGCTTTTCCCTTTTTTCATCGGGTGGGTTACATGGGGCAGATTTGGATGAAAACAGCCTTCTGCTAGCTGAAAATCCTCTTTAGACTGTGAGCCCCTCACCGGTTTGCTGCTGTCCTCCCGCGAGTCCTTCGGGTTGTTCTCTCTGGTTCCTCTAGATCTTAAAAGCACCCACTGAAGTTTCACAAAGGTGTGCCTGGAGTCGGGTACCGGTGTTGGAATGGAGCTGTGGGTTTTTCTGGCGTTTCGGGTAGTTCAGGGGTGACCTACAGCCGCCGGCGGCTTGAAATTTTATTCTTAATCCAAGACGGGATGAACCACCACAGGCGTACCTGCCTCCCTTTAAGGTGTCAGCGAGAGAGCTAATTGCTGCCGAAGCAGAGAGGTGCAAACAACAAAAGTTCCTGTTCCTGGGCTGACGAAGCTGCACCGAGGTCTTGGTTGACCTGGCCCGGCGTGTGCCCAGAGTTCTGCTGTTTATCATTGGAGAGCCAACACGCTCTTCTTGTTTCTGAGTTGTGACATCTTCTACCTAAAAAAAAAAAAAAACCAAAACAAAACCCCTGGAGCCCAGATTTTCCTTCTGGCTGTTGCTAACGATGCGTGCCTGTGTACGCCGAAGGCTCGGTGTCTGGGTGTCCCCCTTGGGGTGACGACTGGAGCACCGCTGCTGGCTTCAGCTCTCGTTTGTTTAAGAACTAATGAGAGACCTTCCCGGGGGGGGGGGGGAAAGAAACGGCGTTAGAAAAACACTTGCGTGCGGTGGCGGAGGTGGCTCGGATGAGGTAGGCAGCTCAGATTGAGCTCGAAGTGGGTGGTTTCTCCCCCCCCCAACCCAGGCTCTTGAAACGTGGGAGTGCCACACCATTTGTTTTTTTTTGCAAACTTTCTCGGAGAAGCGGCCAGCGCCTGAGCCACAGCGGAGCTTGCTGCTGTTTCCCTGCCACCTCGTTTCAGCAATCCTCTGCCCGGTTTATAAATGCATTCTTTTTTTGTGCCACAGCCACGACAGGATGCCTTATCACAGGAGATACAGGCGGGACAGCGACGCCTACAGATTTGAAGACCGGAGCCCGTCTTTCGGAGAGGACTATTACTCGACCCGCTCGCGAAACTGGCGGCGATCCAGAGGCAGAGAGCAGCACCGGCCAAAGAAGCATCAGCACCGCTGCCGGAAACGCAGGACCAGGTCTTGTAGCAGTGCCTCCTCGGTGAGTAGCATCCAGAACGAGTTCAGGATTGCTCAGGGTTTTAACTGTTCTTACCTCCTTTCAGCTCTGAACACTCTGGGTGAGTACCTCTACTCCCATTTTTTTTTTTTTTTTTTTTTGGTGTTTTGTTTTCATTACAATGTGTAAGTCCGAGATCTGTGTCTTGTTAAGCGGGAAGCGTTCGTAGCTGTCAGTTTTTACTAGTCCAGCCCCCGCCGCCCCGTAGCCTTGATACGTGAGGAAGCTAAGCCGTGTTCTTTACGGCCGGGGAGGGGATCAGGGAAGGCTTCAAATGGCGCGCACGTGACGGGCTGACGGGGGCCAGCCCTGGCTGGGGGCCAGCCCGGCCGCCGGGGAGCGGTCACTGTTGGGGTTTCCGCGCGGCCAGGGCTTCGCCGCTTCCCCGGGGCGGGGGGGCGGGGGGGCTCGGGCACGCCGCGGTGCTACGGGGCGCTCCCGCCGAGGCACGGGCTCTTCGCTTCGTGGCCGGGAGGGGAGCCAGCAGCCTGGCTCTCCCGAGCTGTTCGCCCCGTGGTTATTAACCCCCGTCCCACTGTGCCTCGAGAAAGGCTCCCGCTTCCCGAGGGCGTGCACGTGTCCTCTTTGCCTGTTGCCACGCTGGTGTCTTCGGGCTTCAGCTTCTCTGAAAACTTGCCCGTTTCCCCCCCCCTGAAACGTAGTGCTCCTCTCGGGGATCAACAGGGAATATCTGGCGCTGGGTGGGGAGGACGGGGAATACCCTGGAAGCGTTGTGAGGTATCAGACCAAACGTCTCAGCTTCACTGCTGCTCTCCTGTAAGGAACATTTCCTTCTCGCACACATTCGTTGCTTTTAAATGTTATTACAACTAAACAACCGAGTCCTGATCCCTGCAGTTGTAGTGGATAGCTGCATGGCTGGGAACCTCTGACGGTCTGTTGCTTTCCTCCTTTTATTCCTTCCCAGCTGACTTATTTTAATTAAGTTTTTCGAAAGAGCCAGGGTTATGATGAAAACGCTCCAGTGCGGTTTGCGCGTGTGCGTGCGATGATAACGGTGTGCAGGTTTGGGCTGGCCGCGATCTAAATCCTTTGAAGTCTCGCAGCTCTCTCAACTGTCCTCTCTACTTTCTCCTCCGTTTCAGCTGACCTTTTGGGGTTTGATTGTAGCTCGTTATTTTGGAGTAGCTGGGGGCGGGGGGGGCCAGGGGCACAGAAGAGAAGCCTGACGGAAGCTCAGGCCTGGAAATGTAGGGCTTTGTATTAATTTCTTTGGCTGTGGAGATTCTAACTATTTTTAAGGCCGAATAGAAAAAGGTCAGGAATTAGGGCAGCTTGCTTCGTGGACCCTGGGTCCTTTCAGGAATGTTCGGCTGGTTTTCCAGTAGAAGCTAGCAGTAGCAGGGGTGAACTTGACCCCATCCCTTGAGTGGATGCCTGAAGTGGAGTGAAATGCTCCCTGGGGATTAATTTCACCGTCCCGTTCCTCAAGTTCTCAGTTCTCCCAGGCTTAAAATGGCATCCTAAGGCCGACGTGCAACCCCAGCTCCGTTTGCAGCCGGGCGGGCGTACGGGTTGAGGATCAGCGCGGTGGCAGGTTCTGTCAAGAAGGGAAGGGCTGGTTCGTAGGCGGGGCAGGACACGGCTCTGGGCAGCTGGAGGTCCCTTAACCGAGGGACAACTGCTACTCTGGCTTCTACTGGACAGCTCGTCCGAACTGACAGCTTGTAGAACCCTTCGTCACGTTTGCCAGCGGAGAAAAATGGCGTTCTTGTGGCAAAGCCCTCCTCCTTCTCGTGCCTCTGGCAGCATCCTCCGGTGCTGTGGAGGAAGCTGCTCCTCTGTGGGGAGTGGTGGTGCCGAGCCAAGCCACCTTAACACTGGAGCTTCCCAGCTGCTGCTTCCCTTCAGAGAAGAGGGGGGCACTTTCCTGCCTAAGAGGCGGCGGCACCAGGGGCCGTAGCTAATGAGAGCGTTTTCTTTACATACCTGTAGCTGTTGATGACTTTTCTGTTTTGAAGTTAGTTTGTGTCTTGACGTGTCCCTTGCAATATCCCTATCGTTATATATGCTGTGTGCCTTATGAAATGCTGGGATCTGGAAAATCCAACCACCGACGCACCGTCGTCTCCACCTTTGAATGACAACCCAATCCTGCCGCTCGGAACCGCCCGCTGTGCGCGCTGGGTCGTATGCCGTTTCGGGGGGCGGTGTGTACAGAGAAGCCAACAGAGCAGTAAGCGCAGCAGGAGCGTGGAAGATGACAAGGAAGGCCACCTGGTGTGCAGGATCGGCGATTGGCTTCAAGAGCGATGTACAGCCACCTTTCGTAAAACTTTACCTCTCTACTTTCTATCCCCATGTTAGACGAGATCTCTCGTATTGTACTGGAGGGGTCTCTAGTGTTTTATTGCTTATAAATGGACTGACCAGTAAATTGCCTGAGGCAGACAATAGACACTTGAGTTTTAAAGAGCGTAGCAGCGAGAGACATTTTTTTTTGCTTTGGCATTTTATTGCTGTGAAATTGCAGGACCTCAGCTCTCGCCAAGCCTCTGGAGCTCACGTCCACTCCTGTTTTCTCTCCTAGATGAAATTGTCGGCAGCCTTGGCGAAGGCACTTTTGGCAAAGTGGTGGAGTGCGTGGACCATGCCAGGTGGGCACCTTTTTTCCCCTTCCAGGTAACTCGCCTGCCCCTCGCGCCTCAAGCCCGGGCGCTCGCAGCCGCGTGCGGCAGGGTTACCGCTGCCAGTTCAGCCCCAGGCCCCCACCGTCGTCCCCTTCCACTTGGCGCTGTGGTAGAAGTTTTCTCCTCTAGCGAGTGGGAAGGGGCCTGGTGGGTCCCTCAGCCCCCCGAGTTTGCAGGCTCACGCGTTGAGGGAAGCCGGGGAGATTGTTCGGTGGCCGAGGGCTTCGGCACAGGCTGCTCTGCTGCAGTGAGGGACGGGCCAGGCGGCTGGGGAAAGCGACCTCTTAATCCGCAGGGTGCTTTGCTTTTTTTTTTCTTTTAACCTCTCCTGTGATTACACTTGACCCCTGTCTCTTCCTGACCTTTTGTCTGGCTCGGAGCCGGGGGGTCAGCCTAGTATGGGAGCTGCTGGGATCTCCTGCCTCCTCAGAAATCTCTGGCACGGCTGGAGGTGGCTGCTGGAGGCGCAGTGACCTTACGGACTGCTGCGTCAGGAAACGGGGTACCCAGCAGTAGCCTTCTGCTTCAAATTTCAAATTAACGACTGCTCAAGCAGCGTAAATCTTTGGCAGGCCTTAGGAGCTTTGTTGGGACCCAGAAATGACTGAGCCTTTCACCACAATAAAATGTGACTGGAGTAAGAGGGGCGTGCCCTCTCTCTGTGGACTGAGGACGTGTGTGTGTGTGTGTGTGTGTGTGTGTGTGTAGGCTTTTTCTGACTCCTTCCTTTTTGTCTCTTCCCTTACAGAGGCAAGTCTCAGGTGGCACTGAAAATCATAAAAAACGTTGGAAAGTACCGAGAAGCAGCCAGGCTGGAAATTAACGTCCTGAAAAAAATCAAAGAGAAGGACAAGGAGAACAAATTGTAAGTTCCTGCCAGACTCCGGGGTAGTCAGGACCACATCCTTGCAGGCAAGCAGTCTGCTTGGGCGATACCCAAAGAAACACGGGGCTGAGGACTCAAATACCTGCTACTTGCCTCCTGTGTGTAGGGAGGGGGGAAACCTGTGTCATTCCTCTGCGTTGTGGAAGAAGAGAGTCTGGCTCTAGCTCTGCTGAACACTCGTTTACTTAAAACTCTTAACTGACGTGCCAGGTCACGGTGAGGAAAGATTAACCGAAACTTTTCTAGCGACCACTTGCTGCCTCGTCCCACGTGAACTGGAGATCTCGGGGTGGCTGAGCCGAGTGGGGAGGTGGGGTACACAGCGGGATTACTGTGCCTCTGAGCCAGCTGGCTCAGCGCTTTTGCTGAGCAACCCCTTCTGAAGGAGCCACAAACAGGGAGAACGACTGTTGCGTTGAGTCCCTGCGCGACGGTTAATCCCCGTGTCTCTCGGCGCAGCTTGTGTGTCCTGATGTCAGACTGGTTCAACTTCCATGGCCACATGTGCATTGCCTTTGAGCTTCTGGGCAAGAACACTTTTGAGTTCCTGAAGGAGAATAACTTCCAGCCCTACCCTCTCCCTCAGATCCGCCACATGGCCTACCAGCTCTGCCACGCCTTGAGATGTAAGTCACCCCGGGCCGGCCTTGCTGGGCGACGATGCCTCACCAGAGTGGGGTGGGAGGGAGCTGAGGGAGGGGCTGGCTTGGCGCTCCGAGGGGCAGAGTTGGAGGGGTGCTTCAGGAGGTGCTTCCTACAAAATACATATATTTTTTTTTTTCCTTTCTCTTTGCCGCGTTCTGTAGTTTTACATGACAACCAGCTGACTCACACTGACCTCAAGCCGGAAAACATCTTGTTTGTCAACTCGGATTTTGACACTCTCTACAACGAGAAAAAGGTGGGTTTATGTCCAAAAGAGAAGCGAATAGATCGGGAAGAGCCTGCCTTTCCCTCCCTACAGAAATGGGATCGTCCCTGTTTTCCACGTGCCCCACAGGGCCTTAAAAGTCTGTTTGGTGGGAACAAACTGGAAGTCTGGCTTTCTTCTTTCTTCCATGTCTTCTAAAAGCTTTAAGACTGCTTCAGTGGCCCCAGCCTGTGAACTGGACTGTTCAGTGGCTTTTCCGTAACACTGATCTGAGGTGTAAAGAGCTCAGAGCTTCCGGGTGATAATTCTTCTGATCAGTGGGGCGGACGTGGCAGTTCTGGGGTCAGAGGGCTCCTGTCAAAGCCCGGCTTAATCCTGAGGCAGCTGTTGGAAGCGCTGAGGATTTCTTATTTGCTTGCAGAGCTGCGAGGAGAAATCCATTCGGAACACGAGCATCCGCGTGGCAGACTTCGGAAGCGCCACCTTCGATCACGAGCACCACACCACCATCGTGGCCACCCGGCACTACCGTCCACCAGAAGTGATCCTGGGTGAGTACCGCCGGGGTTGCGGGAGGCGCCGAGGGGGACAGTCGTCCCCGGGATGCTGCAGGATGATGGTGCCTAGAGGAAAACCGGCCTGAGAGCACTCCAGTTCTCGGGGGAAAACGCGTAGGCGCCGGGGGAAGGCGGAGTCAGCCTAAGCTGAAACAGAAACATCTGGGGGAGACTTGACGGTCCTCGTGCCGGTGTGCGGCACCGCAAAGCGCACAGATAACTTTTAGGTCTGTCTTCGTGGAACCCCTGCGGCTTCAACAAGGAACCAGTAGCAGAAATCTGGTGGGACTGGCCGAGAGCGCGAGGTTAAATTGCTTCTCTTTGCAGAGCTGGGCTGGGCGCAGCCGTGCGACGTCTGGAGTACTGGCTGCATTCTGTTTGAGTATTACCGCGGCTTCACGCTCTTCCAGGTATGATTCTGGTGAGAGGCACTGTACCCTAAGAATCCTTAATGTCTCAAAGGGCTCAAACTTAGGTGGGGAGAAGGGAAATGCAGATCAGGCACTGAAAATCAGGAGCTGAGTTTGCAAACGAGCCCAGGAAAACTCATGGTTTGAGGACTTGTGCCCTGCCGGAAGGCTAAGGTTCAGATCACTGCCGGTTTCTTTACTGTGCCTGGGAAGAACAGGAAAAGGGAGAGGAAGCAGAGGCAGATAGGACCTGCCTCATTCCATAGAGGCTTGTCTCTTCTTCCCCTGTACTCGTATGGCGTGCTTCTGTCATCCAAGCTCTGAATTAATGCGCTGTTGCTCGTTCCCTTTGCAGACCCACGAGAATCGTGAGCATCTTGTCATGATGGAAAAAATCCTGGGGCCCATTCCATCTCACATGATCCACAAAACTCGGTGAGCACCTCTTCCTAAGCTCAGACAGCCCCATCAACTCTTGGTGGCTATAATTCCCAGTTCTCTGTCCTCACCCGGGGTCTCCCCTAGCTGGGTAGAACCGGGGGAGAGGTGCTGGAGGTACGGCCCATGGCTGGCCTTACTGAACACCACCTTCCCTTTGCAGGAAGCAGAAATATTTCCACAATGGGAACCTGGTCTGGGATGAGAACACGTCTGACGGGAGATATGTCCAAGAGAACTGCAAGCCGCTGCGGGTAGGTGCCGCTCTGCGAGGCTGAACCCCTGCCCTGTCCCCCCTTGCCCAGGTCAGCGGTGCGGGGCTTAGCGGGGGGGAACTGCCTGTAGCAACTGGCTTTTAGAGAGCTCTAACTCACTCTCGCCTGCAGTAGCAGAAGGTTCTGGGCCTGGCTGAAGTAGGATGGGAATTGGAGGCAGACAGGCACCACCAGAGTGCTACACCCCTCTCTCCACACACACACACACCCCCCCCCCTTCTCTTTCAGACGTACATGTTGCACGACTCGCTGGAGCACGCACAGCTCTTCGACTTGATGAGGAGGATGTTAGAATTCGACCCTTCCCGCAGGATCACGTTCTCGGAAGCCCTCCTGCATCCCTTCTTCGCTGGCCTCTCGGCGGAGGAGAGGATGCTGTGCGGCCGAGGCGCCAGCCGGGACCTCAGCAGATGACGGCGGGGGAGGGCGATGCCTCCCGGATTTGTACATACGGGATCGGTCTGGCCTCTGCAGCCCAGCCCCGCTCCTCGGGGGTCAGAGGGGCTGGGGCACTGCGACCAGGACCCTGGGGGAGCCGACGGGAAGAAAAGCTACATTGGAAAGCACAGATTTGTCTATTTATATGTTGTAAAGTTAAAATAAAGTGTTTCTTATTGTTTGATACTTCCCTTGTAGGCAGGTGTAGGGTTCTCTTGCTCCCAGCTTTGCCTTTTCTGCAAAAGAAGAGGGAGATGTTGAAAAACTGACTGGAAACTAAGCAGCAGGAATCTGCTTTGCTGGAGGGGAAAAAGTGAGGTAAAAACTCTGCCTGGGCTCTATCCTTGCACCTTTGAAGGGCAGGCAGGCTTGTTCCAGCTGCAGTGCCAGGCTCTAGAGTGATAGCAGACAAATAAAGAGCTGCACACAAATAGCACACATGAATAGTTGCACTTTATTTCAGGGCATTCCCCCCCCCCCCCCAGTATCAGCAGGAATTAGTCGTTACAAATATTAGGTCACGAATGGAATATCAAGCAGTGACATAGTGCAGTGATCTTCACATGTTAGTGACCAGAGAGCAGCACTCGGGGGCAGTTCCTACAACGGCGGTTAAGGTTGTGGGTAGAAACTATCTAATCATCTCAAACACAGCTTAAAAAAAAAAAAAAAAAAAAAAAAAGTGTTCCAATCTTTGAATTAACTCTGGCAACATGGGGGGAAAGGGGACAAGAAGGGACCCAGGTCCCTTTCTGGGTCTGAGCGCTCCAGAAGAGTTCACACCTGCACAAAAGATGCATTTCAGGTGGGCGAGGCCAGTACTTCCTCTAGTAAAACTTCATAGCTGAGGGAAAGTACAGCCAAATATTCAAATCTACTCTCATCTCCAGAAAAAGTGAGTACACTGTAATGCTTAACGGGGCCAAACACAGCCCAAAGCTGCCTGCTGGGCCCTGAACGCCCTGCACTGGTGGGGATTGGGAATCCCTTTCCTTACGTGAGGGTTTCTACCCTCCTGCTGGGCAATGCTGCTCACAATTTTTTTTTTTTTTTTTTTTTGCTTCAACATGGGGATCCTTACTGCTGCGCAGCTGGCACTGCACGGGGCCGTAGCGCTTCCAGGAGCCGGGTGGCAGCAAGCGCAGACCTGATCCCTGCAAAAACATCTTCGTGTGGCTCAGTGCCCTTCAGGGCACGGAACTTCTGCCAGTGGCACGGCAGCATAGAGGCAGAAAAGGACCCCGTGATGAAACCTTGAGTATTTCTACACTGGTACTGCTCGGTGCGTACAAACTGCAGTTTAATAGCCAAACCCAGAAGAGGCAAGGAAAGGCTGCAGCCTGGTTCAAGGAAAGCAGAGATTGAAACAGCAAGCTCTCTTGGAGAATGTCTTGAGCAAGGAAAGTGAAAAGAAGGGGACTAAAGCTAACACTACTACAGCAACAACCCAAGGACAGCTGTCCACCTTTTTAACCCAACCGCTGCTCCTCTGCCTGGCCCACGATCAGGTGAAGCTGAAACACCCAAAGAAAGGCAGCGGGACGCCTCGCGCGCGGATTTTAACCCCCCAGCCCCGCTGCCATCCCTTCCCAGCGCGGCCGAGTCAGAGCCCCAGCTTCTTCGTCGCCACTCCAGTTCCACCTGAAACACAGTTCACCCGGGGAAGGGGCGCTTCGGCTTTGCCCTTTCTCCGGGAGAGGAACCTCTCGAGGGCAGAGCGACACCCGCCGCGGCCCTGGCCAAGCCCCCCCAGCCCAGCCCAGCCCCTCCGTGTGTCAGTCGTCCAGCCCTCGGCGGGGAAAGCAGCTCAGGGGAGCCGGGGGCCCGGACAGCGCCAGGGGCAGAGCCCCGCGTCCTGCTGAGGTAGATAACGGCAAGGGGCCGGCGGCTTGGCAGGGGCGGGGGGTGAGCCCAGTGCTCACCAGCCTCCTGGCCGGCTCTTTGCCCTGTCACACCACGCTTCCGGGCAATATTAATTACTCAACTGCTTCTTTTCCAGCAGGGAAGTCTCTTCCCTCCTCCTCCGATACGCTTGGTCTTTGTTCTAAGCAGATGAACGGGAAAGGCGAGTGCCTGATCTGTAGAATCCTCAGCCCTGGGAGCACAAGCGGGTCGATAGGTTTGCGGCTCAGCCGAGCGCCGTGACGGAGCAGCTACGGCAGCGGGTGACCATTCCCACGCGTCCCCGCGCTTCAGCCTCAGAAGGGAGCCAGAAAAGGCACCCTTTGGAGCTCTGCGGCTCTCCCAGGTGCCGGAGCAGGGTCTGTGCAAGGTTTAGGTACCTGCAGGAGCTCTGGGTGAGGTCCCAGAAGAGCAGCAGAGCTTCAAGCACTGCCCACACTCGCGGCAGCGGGAGCAAGCAAGGAGCCGAGCGCCGGGCCTGTGCCTTGCGTCTTGCCCCGTTCCTCTGAGAGAACAGCTCGCCCTTACAGCACCTCCCGCACCACTCCAGCGCTTCCCTGGCTCAGCTACCGGGCACAAAGCTTGCGGAGAGCACGCCGAGAGCCAGCACCCCGGCTTCCCTCAGCTTGGCTCTGCTCTAGACGCGGCACCAAGGCTCCATCGGACCAACAAAACGAACGCAGGAAAAGACAACCCGACGCCTCCTGGCAGCGCGTGGGAAGCGAGCGCAGCACAAGAGCAGTGAGCAGAGCAACCCGGGGCAGATCCCCCCCGGTAATTCACACAAAAACCCCCGGCTGTACCCCTCCGGGGGGGCAGCAGCTCTCACCACGCCATCTCCTGCCGGCGAACAGGACCGCGGGAGCCGAGGGCCCAAGTCCTTCCTCAAGCTGGTTCCCGGCACGCGGACAAGCACAGAGAAGCCCACCCTGTACACAGGCTTCAAGCCCAAAGGGAAGGAAAGGATCCACCACCTACTTCCCAAACCACACCAAGTGTGGGATGCTGGAAGCACTGGGGGAACCTACCCAAACGTCACCTGCACCATACACCACGCAGCTAACTCCGAGTGACACCGCCCTGCTTCGCTACGCTTCCCCTGATCCAGCACTTCCTGTGCCAAAAAGGAGGAAAAAAAAAAAAAAAAAACCAAAACAAAACAACAAAACCAAAAACCCCGACAAAAACAAATGCACGACTATCCTGGAAAAGTTCTTTTCCAAAATACATCTCACTCTCACAGACCTGGGCTTCACCCACTAAGTGAACAAATGAAAAGCCAACAGAGTACATAAGCAAGTAAGGCTTAGCTGAGGACATCAGTGTTCCCAGAACGTGTGACCTGAGAGCTTCTGGCTCTTGACACAAGCTTTCTGAAGAGGGAACGCTCTCCTCGAGGGGCTGGAGGGTCCAGGAGGGAGAGCGAGCTACAACTGCTTTCAGGAACATAAAACAGGGAAGCGGGGAGTCAAAAGAACAACAGAACGAAACCAAATCCTCCCTCCCGGTACAACTGCAACAGAAAGTATTTCTACACAATCGAGGGGCGCTGCTCCCGCCGGGACGCCCTTGCTGGGTCTATCCACCCGGCAGGACAGAAAGACACCTCAAATCTCCAAACCACCCACCACTTGCACCACCTCCATGTACACCCCCTCGTTGAACAGCCTCCCGGCCGGGCCTGGGCAACAGCGGCCACCTTCGCCGGGGACAGGCACCATCTTCCTGCGTGTTCCTCCATACAATGGCACGAGAGAATGAAAAGAGCTTTGCAGGAACATTCGCTTCCTCCTTTTTTTTTTTTTTTGTTTCATTTTAGGATGATTCTTCTTTTTTTTCTTTTTTTTTTTTTTTTTTTTTTTTTTTTTAAATACACAACATTTCTTCTGGAAGGAAACCTCTCCAGAACTTCACATCCTTAAGGCGTCACGAGTTTACTAGTCAGGATCCACACTGGACAGCTTATTTGTCAGACCTCCTCCTTCTCTCTTCTCTCACTTCAGAGCCGTGTGGCTGGGCGGGCTCTAAGTGGAGTGCAGGGGGATGACGAATTTGCAGCCAAAGGGTGAGTGGTAGTTTATTCCCACTTCCTGAAAGACCTTCTGGGGAATGCCAATGTCACAGAGGTACACGCGCCCTGCCCTCTCGCCCAGGGGCAGGGGCAGGCCCAAGGCCAGCGACCATTTGGCGTCGATGCCCTGCTCCATTTCGCTGATCGGAGGGTCTATGCTGAGGACGGGTGCCCGGTTCTGGTTGGCCCAGTCCACAACTGCTTTGTACCAAGGCTGATCTCTCAAAAAGGCATTTTCATGACAATCTAGGCAGTTGATCACTAGGTCAACAGGGGTATCTGGGAGATCTGAAAGAAACACAAACACCGTTGAGCGCTGAGGAGCTAAGGCTCGGTGCCTTCCCTCCTTGCACTGCCAGCAGATTCATTCATTTGTGCCTCCAGCACCCCCAGTCTCACTGCACACAGTTTGGCCTTACCTGTTGCTATCGCTCTCCTTCCGCAAAAGACACCGACACCGATATTTAAAAGCTCTTTAGCACTCTGGAGAACACTCACAGCCTCTCAGGTACAAAATCTCATCACGTGGCCAGCACTCGAGCAGCCCCGGGTGCCGCCGCTGAGCTGGCTCACCGGTCCAGGCAGCCCAGGGAAGCAGTGCTGTGCCCTCTCTAGTATAAAAAAAAGGACCATTTTCTATTCCACAGGCTGAAAAAGCAGCTATTTTTCTGGAACACACCAACCGCCCCTGCAATGGAAAGGCAGTTTGTGTGCTGCAGCCCTGCCTGCCCCGGTCTCACTGCACTCACCTGCTCCGCACCACGCCTCCCCTTACCTGACTGACCACAGAGACCTTGGTACAAAAGATTATCACAGATTTTGCAACGGGCAAGTAGCTCAGCCAGCACAGCACAGCCCCCCTTCACCCCGCCAAAGCACGAAACGGTGTGCGGCGCCCTGATCCCCGGCGCTCTTTCTCCCAAGAAGTTTAAATGAACCGCGTTTGAAAACTGGGCTGGTGAAGTGACAAACAGAAGCCAGCGCTCCCACAGAAGATGAGGCAGCAGGTTTTTCTAGGGCACACTAAGATCTGAATTTTGACAGCTGCCGGGACTAGTTCAGCGACGCCGTCTGCTTGGATGGAAGCAGCAGTTGGATGCTCGTTTCCTTCCAGTTTCGATATGCTGAACAAGGAAGGCCTTTATCTTAAGAGAGTGGCTGGTCTGACTCAGACCCACACAGCCGCTCTTCCGTATTTGCCCGTCCAGGAAAACATCTGTCCCCAGCACAACTGCACCACTGTTGAACCTCTCGAGCCTCCGCCGTCCCGCCAGCCCCCCGCGCGGCCACTGGCCTGTGCCGGTGCCACTAGATGGTGCCACCAGACTGGGCAGGCCCCGGGGAGCCCAGCGACACGGGTCTCTGCGAGGGCGGCCGGGCTCCTCGCTTGCTCACCTTTGACGCTGGACACCTGCTGGCCTTGGGTCTTGCTGAAAAGGTTCAGCTCGTTGGTGATGGACTCCAGCATCTTGACAAAGTTGGGTAAGAAAAGGATGACGTGGACGTCGTGGTTGGAGAGGTGCCGTCCGCAGCTGATGCCCTGGGCCCCCTTCACGTGGGGGCCGCACAGCAGGGCTACCGTGGGCCGCTGATGCACGTTCTTCGGGTTCAGCCTAAACACAGACAGGAGGGGATTGTTAATAAACCCAAGAATCCCGTACCTTTTTTCTGCAAGAGGGGAGGGGGGGGGGAATATATAGAAGAAGAAAAAAAAAAAAAAACAAACATTTAAAAAACAAATCAGTAAAATGCAAATTGACAGGCGTTTTGCAAATCTTCCGTTGCCTCGGAAAAAGGAACCCACATCCTTTTGTAGTGCTGACACTACAGAGCTGCTCTGCTTGCAGGTTCCCTTCCAGACTTCCTCACACCCGCAGCAGAGAGCACGAGGTCCCAGTCTATCCGGGTTCATCGTGAAGCTGAGCTGTGCTTGTAAAGCACAGGGCATTTTCACTGCTCACATAGCAATCCTGAGTCTGGTGCAATTTCACTTTTAGGAGGCTTTTCTTCTCTGCCCCTCTGCTTTTTGAAGCAAGCTAACTATACAACCTTAAAAAATATGAGGTGAGTTACTCCGTCAGCAGAGCCATAGTTAAAAAAAGAAGAAAAATAATTTCTACTCGCTAAGCCTCATCAACTACAAAATAGAGTTGATCTATTTAAATGGCCTGCAAGCCATCAAGGGTGGCTTACAGAAGGATTTTCAGCTGATAGGGTCAGTGCTGCCTGGTATGTCATCACTTACTGCTCTCAACCAAATGATCAGGTAAAGTACTAGCAAATAAACAGATGTAGGCTTAAGGCTTACCTTCCATTTCAAGAGCAAGCAATTTGGAGCAGCTATCAACAACATAAAAACACGCATGCAATTGTCTGCCCACATCAACAACTATGGTAAGTGCAGGCACAGCGCAGACCTCTTCAAAGGAGTCAGCACATGTATTTATGCAAAGAGCAGTGAGTGCACTCCAAACCTGCCAGCCAGCTGGGCCCTCCAAAGGAGCAGGATATTCTTAGTTTAGTTGTAGCTGCCTGAAAGTTAGTATAGCATTGCAAAAAGCTAAGCAGCACTTTGGTTTCATAAGCCGAGTTTTGGTTTTATTGCTGTCGTTACATTGTAGTGCATCAGAACAACAAGGGAAAGGTTTATTCATTTGCAGAAAGGACTGGCTCACTACATACTCTGCAGTGGTTTAATTTGCCTTGGGCTCAGCTGCAAAGCTCAGTTCCCTGAAAAAATTCCAAGTGGAGAGAAAAATTCCAGCTCTGTCTGGTTTGTCTTTGACTCAAGAGACACAGACACTTGTCCCTCTGGGACACAGGAGCCAAAAAGAAGCCCTTAAGTCATTCATCCAAAACAGCATGTTCAGCCAGCCCTTTCCTAAAGGGACTAGAGGCAGGGAAAAAGCGGTGTGAACACAGAAACCTACTGTAAGTCTTCCTCCCGTGTCAGGAGTCTGAGCCTCACACTTGTTTTCCTGATTATGCAGAAGCAGGCTGACACACGAGTTATAACACAGGTCTGCACGGCACCGGGATGAAGTTTTTTTCTTTCAGAGGCAAGGAAGGCAGAGAGGCAAGAGCTGCCTGCAGGTGCAGGACCACCGAGGGACGAGCGCAAGCGGCCGCAGGCGTCCACACAACGCTGACCTCAAAGGCAACCTCGGAGCCTCTTTCACCTCATCCCACTCAGCAGAACAAGGTACCCTGGGCTCGGCTTAGAGGGAGCGAACCCACAGCAGCGTGGAAGGGAACAGCTTTACCTGTTGGGTCCCCCAAGGAGGCTCAGGGCCATCTGACTCGCGCACACTCCCGTCATCTCCAGCCTCCGCTCCAGAGTCAGCCCGTGCTTCTCAGCAACCGAGAGCAGCTTTTTGTGAAGCTCGTAAGACACGCTTGGAACGACCAGCCCAGAGTCTAGGGTTCAAAGAAAGGGGAGGGAGGAACACAGAAACAGGTACAATCAGAGACTCTTCCAGAATGCTGCAGACTGACAAGGTTTTACATAACAGCACTTAGAAATAATATCAGGGAAAAGGCTTGTTAGCTGTTACCAAGCTTCACCTGGTAATCCAGGCTCCTTCCAAGACCGGCAAATGAATCCAAACTAGTCCATCAGTCAGCGTACTCTGAGTGAAGCAGACATAGCTAAACACAACTGCTGGGCTTGAAATAAGATATTTCCACAAAAATTCAGCAGGCAGCTGGCAATTTTAGCAACACACAGACTGAGCCCGTCTCTGAGCCACCAATGCTTTAACCCACACCCATGCCCAAACACATCTAAGCGTTCCTAATCACCGTGAAAGCCAGAAGGGAAGCTGTGAACCAGATTTCCCACCAGAAAAATCTTGGATGCATTATGCTTCCTGGTATCGGTAGTGACCAGCCCCAAACTTCCAGCCCCTAAAAACGTATCACAGCAAAACAAGACGTCCCACGTTTACTAGGTAGGTGTCCCCACCACCTGAGCTGTGGCGTGCCAGAAAGGCCAAAAGCTGAATCGTGACACACCGAAGCAGCAGGGGAACGAGGCAGCTGAAAGAATAAAGCCTGATGGAAAAAAATACTTCTCAGACATTTTTGACAGCCTGGTTTGGGAGCCAGGAAACGCTCCAGCATGTGGATCAAGGGAAAAACAAACAAGAGAGGTTTTGTTAAGTGCTGAGAACAACGCCTGCAGCAGGCAGCGATACAATCCTTTACGCTCCCTTCTACAGCAAGCTTGCCTGGAATCAGCAGGTAAGAGAAACACAAACCTGAATAACTGTTCTGGCTGATACTTTGTACTTTCCTCCTCCAAGCAGGCCAAGCTGACACTGACTTCACAGAAACAAACCCTGCAGTAACATCTGTAAACTCTCCTGGAAATAAATACAGAGGGTTTCTTGCCACCAAAAGGCAGCTCGCTCTGAGGGGAGCCACAGCAATTTTTTGGCGGTGCGTTGAATAGTGGAGGACAAGGAAACTGAAAATAATTACTTATGGTGTATGGAGAGAGAAGTGCAAAACGTGACAGGTGAGAAAACTGCTGCAACAGCCAGCCAGATATCCCTGAACACCTTCAGCCACAGAAACCAGCCCCTTTATTTTGGAGGAAAGCTAGAAAGATTCTGATATCCAAGCCCCTTCGCCCTGTGTTTGAGGGTTCACACTTAGAATCAGAAAATACACGCTATTCTTCCCTTGAAACATCCTCCTGCAAGGCCTGGATGTCCTTAACTGTCTCCCAGCTTAATTCCCTCCCCATATGGGACAGCCACATAGCCGGAGCACAGCTGCCAGCAAGAAAAGCTCTCAGCTCCTTCGGTTCACCTCACCCATAAGCGCTGCTCCGAGCTAAACAAGCAATCCCAGCAGAGCGCGGCTGAGCAAGAGCTCTGTGAATTTACTGTTTGTTCCTACTCTGGGACAGGCAGATGAGGCGCAGGCGTCGGGCATGTGGCTCAAAAAGGTCCAGGACTCAGACAGATGCCTGCTATAGCTCAAGCACGACGCCACACGTCAGGCCAAAGGGTGAACTCGGTCCTTCCATCAGCACGTTCTGCTTCTGCGCCGTTCAACGGCCAGCAGCCCTGGCTCACCCCCACGCTCCCGCCAGCCGCTCCGCCGCTGAACTCAGGGCCATGGCAGCCCCCCCACCCCCCCGGTGCCCGTGGCAGCCCAGCACCAAGCAGCACGGTGGGGCTCGGACCGCCGGCGTTAACGGGAAGGAGTCGTGGGAACATGACACGGCCCAGTGAAAATGCTCCGCAGTGATACGGGCTCGAAGGGGAACAGCCACAGCATACACATCCGCTCGGAGAGGAAACCTAACAGCTACTCGTGGGCTCTGGCCGTTTCGCAGACAAAAAAAAAACCATAACCAGAACCAGTTGTAACAAGCAAGTGCCACATTCAAATGAGAAAAGCAGCGTGTATTTTAATTGCGAGGAATTATTTGTACCGCCATATTCCCCCAGGGTGCCCCAGTCACAAACCACTAAGTCAAGCTACGGCGGAAACGGCAGTTTTCGCACATCTTGAGGTTTTCAGAGTCAAATCCGAGGTATTCCTGCAAGGTAACAGTAAAATGTTGTGGAGTAGATCCTGCTGAATCCTTCTGGCCTTCACTTCTGAATTTACCGGCTAGCGCTCTGCAGATACAGATGGCCCAAACGTGTTCAAACACTTGACCTTGCATGTTAACTGCCGATTAAGCTACCTCTGCTAATAGTCTTTCATTACATGCAGCACACATGCAAGCGTGCACATTATCAAAGTCATTTCAGACTCCTGATAGCAGCCAGTGAACATTTGGAGTCATAAGCCACTAATAATCCTAAACCCATCACAGTAGTCACACACCTGCCCTGTGTTCACACACCCTCTTAGCCTCCAGAGTCACGCAAGGCTCAGCTCTGCCTCGTTCCCATTCATAGTTTTGCTACTTCATCAGGTCTTGTTTTTCAAGCTTGAGGGAGGACTTGGAATGAGTGACCTGAGGTCAGGATCTCTCCAAACAGCTTGACGGGACGCATCCTCTGCTAACCTGAAACAGGGGGCTCCCAAACTGTACTTCTGCTCCTTCTGCACTGCAGGACCCCGAATGCCCTGCTTAAATTTTGCACCAGCTGCCCAAACCAGAAGGGTGAAACAGCTGATCTATACTCTGTAGCTACCCAATTTAGTATGACTGTCACCAACGTCTTCTCTGTAACCATTTGCATCTTGCCCTCAATCACTTCCCCCAGATCACCAGCCTTAGTAAACTCACATTTATCATCAACTAGACGCAAGTCAGTGCCCGGTGGGTTAACGCAAAGGGGGTCACTGGGAGGCAGCAGAGGCACGAGATGAACTTGCATTTAGCATGCCAGTGCTACACTTCGTCTTAATTGCTCCCTCTCAGGAGCAGGCTTAAATGCCAAGAGAGCTTCCCTTCTTCGCACTCACGCAAGGTCCAACCAGTCAGACTGGCTTATCAAAACCAGGCCGATGGAGTTAAATAAACTCTAGCAGAAAGCAATCAAGGAGGCGACGGGTAAACCCACAAACAAGAGCACTACTGCAACAAAACTGAACTCCTGCCAACTTTAATTATGTTTGGGTTGGACAGTGCATCTTTATTGTTTGGTAATGAGGGTAATAAAATAAATTAGCTCAGGCCTTTTAATATTAAATAAATGTATTTTACAGCTGCCTAGAAAAAAAAAAAAGCAGATATAGACTAAACAGTTTTGTGACACGCAGAGTATTGCTAAAGCCTGATTAAACAAGAAGTATTCTCCGTTTATGAGGCACACTCTGTCCTGTGGGCACTACAACTGTGATGAAGTTCTCTCCTTGAGCTTCACTATGAGATGTTACACACATACTGGTTGGATTAAAAAACCCTACACCAGCAGAAGGACTGAGCTCACTCTCCAGGAGTTAAGGAAATAAGGGGTTTTCCGCAAACAAGCCCGGGGCAGTGTTGCTGTCAGATGTCCAAATGCCTCCCGTCTTTGCAGTTGCAGGAAAAAAAAGAAGGTTGCTGCTAAAGCAGCTCAGTGTGTAAACCCCATCTTTTCTCTTGACTATTTCAGCAGCTCTCTAGCTGCTAAAATAAATACAGGTGAGCTGCCGGATGGATGAGACAGAGCTAGACACTGGATCTCCCGAAAGCTGCATGTAACACTCTTTCCTTTAGCAATAAATAACTCCATGTTCCAGAGCCACACAGCTCATGGTCTAAGATGCAGTTACATGCAGTGGGTATAACTCTTGTCCACCTGAGGCAGATGGGACATTACTTGCTGTCTTGGTTGTAAAGCTGGAGCCATCTGCCTGCAAACTCAGCAAAACAGTTACTTGCCTCACAAGCATGAATTATTTTCTCCATAACCTTAAGGGTTAGATTTTTTTTTTTTTTTTTTAAATCATTATTTTTAATTAAGACAAATTCTGCGGGAGTTCTGGCTGACCTTCCAATGTCAGTCTCTCCCAGCATTAGTGCACAATTCACTCCAGCTGAGCAAAAAAAACGCCTGAGAGACAAAGAGACTTTGCCCCATGACCACTTTGTTTTCTCCTGCGGTTGGATAAAGTGAACTTAATTTGCCCTCTACTTAGAGATCCCAGAAACACTTCACACATTCAATACACTCAATCTCTGTAAAGCAGTCATCCATAGACTGAAGAGCTAAAAGCTACGGAGAGTAGAAAAGTCAGTCAAGGACATGGTGCACACAAAAAAAAGACCGTACTGTCAGCATCATCCTCACAGAACACACTCAGCCTTAGTTTCGTAGTCTGACCCCAGCACATAATCTCTGCCTGCTGCACTGATTTACTTCTAAGTGCACGTTTTCTTTCACTATCTCCTTACCGTGGGGAAAAAGGGTTTCTTGAAGAACACGCCTGAAGTCTGGTTAAGGGGAGCACAGAGAAATACTGACACTTAGCCTGATTTTTTGAGCACAGAACTGCTTTCACTTGACAATTTCTATAGCAGCTGAGTTTGAAAAATCCCACTGACTTTCCAGAAGAGATACCGAGATGGCAACAGCACATTTTCTACACTAACAGCATTAACCAGAAGAGAATCTGCTTTGGAAAAAGCCTTACTAGAACAACAGGGAAAGAAATGCATACCTTACCTATGTGGCATACACCTCTCCTCTTTACTCATCTCAGTGTGCTCGTAAAGACACTGTCCCAGCAGATACCACTGCTCAAAAAGCCAGGCTTTGGGTACATCTGCACCCCTACACTGTGCGGGAAAGCAGAAAGTTGAGGTAGTGTTGCATATGAGAATTTCAGTCCCATTTGATGTCCGCAGTCCAGGCGAGGGAGATTTTAATCCAGTATATTCACCGTGAACTGCAACCCATCGTATGTACGAGGTATGTGCTAGCAGTGATTAAACAAAGGGAAGAGGAAAGGAGGGATGAACTGCAAAACGGAACCATTTGGACAATGTGGAATGCTTGAGATTGTATTATATGGAGTCACTGATGATGAACCAAGATACACCATCCTCCTGCAAATTCCTCTGAGCCCCAACATACCTGCAGAGCGTTGGCTTTGCAGTTACTGCTAAAAGACCTGATCCCAAAACACGGTGCAGTTCAAACACAGATCATTCCAGTGCTGATAGCCAAGAGAAGGAACAGACACAGAGCTATGCCAACATACATTTAAGTTCTCTAGCTGGACAGCTCTGGAAGTAGAAAAAAAAGACAGCTCACACTTCATACAAGGATCAGCCTTTTCAGGGAGGCAGATTTTTGTTAAACAGTTTGCGCTGCCCCTTTCAAGCACCATGCAACAGTAATCAGACAGATTAATAGCAACCAGCCCAAAAGAATGAAGACTATACATTTGTGAGCAATTCCTATGTGGAATCCCAGGGATGGACTCAGCTAAATCATGATCAAAGACCTTGTGAGCTCTATTAGCCTCAGGTTTTCATTTTTGTTTGGAACAGATACTCATCTTCATTCTCTGCTCACTTCTAAAACACACACTACTATACTTACTTGGCAGCCTGGGTCCACAAAATTAGATCTCAGGAAAGCATCCTGGTGGACCGAAGCGTTCATCAAGCTTTGCTTACATCCTACATGAAACAACTTATTTTAGTCAGTAATAAAAACACAGACTGGAAGCCCAGTAGATTAGTCTTTTGGAGAACTGGCATCAGCAGTTTGCTGGCTTTACCGCTGCACAATCCTGGTTATTTCCTAGCTCCATGGAAACATGGCATAAAAGAGCACGCGAGGACTTCTTCCTCTCCCACAGTGACAAGAGCTGGATATTAGCTCACTGTCAATCACCATCAGCGCTTTGTTTGTGCTATTATAGCAGCCAGAATAATCACCGTATCAGCCAGAGCCCTTTTAAGACAATCATCTTCAAGATTGGCCTAGGGTGAAAAAATTACAAAGTACTTATTTCTCCTCTAACTAGCAAGTGCTCTTTGCAAGTAGAGCTTCCCTTAGGAGTCCAGAAAACACTGCAGGGAAAATTCAAAAGCAGAAAGAATTCCTGCATAGATATATCCAAAATCATGGCTTTCAGGGCTACTGGCATGCTCATTTAATTTCAGCAGCTGCTGCTCTTGAAGCCACTAAGAGGCAGGCTGCCTACAGCTCAGGATCTTCCAGTTGCTAAACAAGAAAATGAGGATTTTTTTATTTCTCCCCCCCTCCACACCACCCCACACCCCTCCACCGGTGACAGTCCATCATTACTCCAAGCACACTGATTATCTTTCTGTCCCTCAGAGGGCTGAGTCGCTACAAAAAGCGCTAGACTGCATGCCAGAAACAGCAGGCAAGTTGCAACTGTTTACAAGAGCTTTTGCTAGATAGCCATTAGCATTTCCTAAGGAAAAGTAAACTTCCTCAGAGAACACAAAGGAAGTCACCCTCTGTGGGAAAAATATCTAGAGACACACAGCACTGGGACACTTTTATCATCATTCATAGGACTGTGAACGTGCCCTGCTTGGCGACAGGCAACAGGGAACTGTAGTTGTCAATACCCTGCCCATTGTGTGACACGGCAGCTTTTCTTCCAAACAAATCCAGAATTCCATAGGGGAGACTAATCACCCAACAGTAGCTAATGAGGCTAGCGAGACCCTGCAAGTACAGAGGGGAGTCATTTACCACCCTCCCCGTGCAGGCTTGCCAAGAGCAAAACAAGAAAACAGCAGTCCTTTCACTGGGCTGCTCCCTTCAGCACACTGCAAACCGGCAGCCAAGAGTTTCCATAGTAAAGGACGATGGTGTTTAGCAAACACGATTTCATTTTCATCCCCTGAATTTACTTACTGATGCTTGCTGCTTATTGCATGTCAGAGTTTTCCTCCCAGGACCTGGAGTGCTAGAATACCGTATTAACCATACTTCTCAAATTGGCAGCTAACACGAGGTTAGCTTTTGTTTCAGACTAGACATACATAGAGGCCCTGTCTCCTCTCAAACAAGCCAGCTGGAAGATGAACAGACAAGTAGTAAATTTAAAAAAAAAAAAAAAAGTAAGTCACATACGAAAATTAAGAAGTGCTTATTCACACAGCACACAGGCTATTGGTGGAGCTTCTTGCCACAGGACACTGTAGAGATACAGAAAGCTTGCATAGATTTAAAAAGCAATAGGTTAAATTAAGCAGAAGAAAAAAAGCTCCATCAAAAGCTATTAATACTGAACTATCACTTCTGCTTCAGGAAGTCTTAAAATTGTGAAAGACAAAGCACTCAGAGGAAAGTCTCACTGCACGTTTACTCTGTTCTTTCACTTTTCCTTAAGTATCCTTGGAAACACAACCCTAAGCTGGACAGGTTCTGATACAACCCAGTATGTTTTTCATCTCATGCAAGAGCAGAACAGATCAACAGGAAGATGGATGACACAAATGGAAAACTACGACATTGTTGTATGGCACAACAATTTAAAAAAATAAAAGACTTTGTTTAAAAATCTAAAAGCAGCAAATCGTTACAAATTCAGCTTCCTTCTCTTCAGTGTTTCACACCCCAGATGTAGTTTCTGGGCAGAGAAAGAATGACAGCTCAAGGACCTGATCACACTTCTGCTCAACGTCCAGACCACCAGGATATTAGCTATTTAGTGTGTGTCCACTGAAAGATCTGAAGTTTGATTTTACTTTAACGTGGAAAAGAAATGTTCCTGGAATGCAAAAGTTCCTTCACTCCTACATTTTGCAAGTGCTAAAAAGCATGCAAACCAAGGGCAGGACACCACAACTAAAGTTACAGGGAATTTGTACCTAAATGTAGCATAAAGCACATATGCTATACTTGACAGCATATGTATGTATAGAAATAAAAAGTCTGCTTACGGTAAAATCCATTCGCAGGCAAAAGCAGCTCTGGGGGAAAGCAGCATTATCTGGTGTTGGCCACAAAAATACTACTGAACATCAAATGAGAACAATTCTACCCTTCCCCAGAGCCATGGATTAGGACCTGAATAATGATTCTCTGCATTTCGATTTTGAGAGTGCTGCCTCCCTGCAGCCAGGCAGCTGACTGATCCACCCTGCTACCTTCACCTCCAGCCACGAGCCTACTTAGTGGCAGCAAGGACCAAAAATCAGACTCACAGGAAAACATCTGCACAGCAGCTGGCACCAGCGAGCTAAACTAGTTTCCCCTGATGATACACTTTAACTCAAGCATCTGCCTAGAAGCTTTTCTTTCCTTTTACACTTAAGACTAAGGTAAAGCAAAGGAGAGAAAGACACAGCTCGCTCTCAGAACGCATACTTTACATGCATGTTAATGCTGTGTTCCTCCAGCTTTCTGGGGCCCGATCTTTCAGACAGCAGCAGTGGACAGTAAGTGGGGGGGAGACCCCTCATAAAAAGACCTTTGTACAATGAACGTTTGTAATTATGGATAGAAGAGCCAGAACTGTTTCTTTTTACACCAATTACATTTAAAGTTCCACAAAACCATGCAGAAATCTCTAACTATCACCTAAGGAGTATCAGACGCACATGAAATTTCCTGCCTTTTACCAAGGAAGCACAGATTACCATGAGCTACCACGTACGAGAATCCTGAGACCACCCCTCACTCTCAAGACCCAGCAATCAAGTCCACGCAGGCTCGTCATGCTACTGAAATCAAAGCAAGGACTCAAATGGCTCCTCTTCAGGTTCCATTCTTGTTATCCAACCACCAGTTTTGTTCCCTACTGCAAAAACACTTACCTTGTTGCCCTAACTGAATATTTTTTTTTCTCTGAAATATTGCAAATAAAGGTTGCATGTAGATACAAGGCACAAATCCAGTCTTAGGTAAATGAATACCCTTGCTCACACCACATTAAGCTGATAGACACCCTTTGGGGAAAACAATCCACCACACGTGCCCCAGCAAAGCGGCAGAGTTTGCATCCTTATCAGTAAGGGACGTGGCATACCCGTGCAGAATTCTTTGTTAGCGTTCTGGGGTACGACAATCCTTCTGTAGACTATGGGCTCCGATTCCAAGATGTTCTCGTCGTGCCGATAGCGAGCTGGTTTCTCACTGGGGGTCCCCCGGGAACGAGTGCCACTCCTCCTCTCATAGGTTTCAATCTCTTCAAACACAGCTGCCTTGTCAAAAAGGGCCAGGTTCCCTTCAAAATCAAAATCTGTGTCTGGGATTTCGTCAATGTCATCCCCAAAGCACTCATCATCTTTGCTCTTCATTTGCCCGTTTTTCAGGCCACTCTTCTTTGGAGTCACTTGGTTTGGATGACGGCTACTGGATGACCCTAAACAAAAATAAAAGCAAGTTGAAAGTGTGTCAAAAATGGAAAAAGCCACATTCGCTCATACACTTTCTCAGCAAGTTTTGTAAGAGAAGGGAGCTTATGCTTTCAGTCCGTCGACTCAAAGGATACTTGCTTCCCAAAGAAGCTGTAGAGCTCATCTTTGGAATTACTCACGCCAAGATAAGCTAACAGAAAACAGAACAAGAGCATCAGGAGAGAGACTTTCAGGGACTGTCCACTGGCAAGGTTAGAAAAACAAGCTTGACCACAGTAGCAAAATAAGCATTTCTCCACACTCGATTTAATTCAAGATGGTTTTACATTAGTGATAAAATAATCTAGCCATAAACTAGGACTGTTTTCATCCTATATTGACTCATGCTCATGCAAGCATGTGACCCAAGACCTTCTTTGGAATTTCCCTAAATTTCAGAAACTAATGTAGGTGCTTTCTTTCATAACAGGCTAGTCACACGTTAAGGTTCTTTAAGGGAAAACTTAAAACCTTGAATATAAAATATTTCTTTTCCCTTGCACTTGCTATCAATAGGTACACATTTCTGTACCAACATAAAGTCCATTCCCTTATTCCTTTTTCATTATTCTACTTATTCATCACCTTGCATGTTTAAGTACACTTCTTACCCATCACAAGTAACTGTGAAAGCCTGATTTCTCGGGAGTGAGACTGATTAAAGTCTTCTCATTGCCAGCTTATAGCTGGAGATCAAGGACTGCTACAAAACCATATGCAATTACAAGGTCAACATATCCCTTTACTTGCTTACTTCTTACATTATTATTCAGGTCACCCATGCAAAATCAGGTCCAGACAATATTCATCTGTTTGTTATGCCCATTGTTAAATCTGCAATTACTAGAAAGTATTTCAGACCAATTACAGCAATTACAGGTATCGCCTACAGTGTCCAACAGATGGAGTAAGAGTTATCACACTAAAACTGCTTGCTCTACTAAAATATTTCTCATAATCTCCTTTGTGAGTAATTTATACAAATGAGTTTATTGACAGAATCTGTTTGATAACACAGAAACAAACTGCCACCAAGTTACCATGATGATATGCACTCTTTATATACGTTCTCCATAAATGAAAAATCAGCATTTTTTTTGCCTTTACACATTATTGCCAATCAGCGAGAGAAGACAGGAAGAATTTCAAGTCATCTAAGGATACTTAGAAAGCATCCCCAAAAGATTTGCAATAGGCACAACCTTTATGGCCTCCCACAAAGTTACCTGTCACCTCTGTAAGTGCAGACAAATCTAGCTCGGTCTTGACAAATCCCTCCTCCCTGCCTGGAAAGGCTTATTTGCAACCTCGGGTCAGGCTGGTGGAACAGCCACAAGCTGCCTAACAAACTTGTGCTCTAATTTCCCGCATTTCCAAAGTGTGAAATCCTCCACTCCATCGACAGGAGCAGCACTTCCCCTAGAAAGAGAAGGGCCTCCCTCCCGTCAGTTGTTTCCACAGGAGCTTTCATCCGTGTCAGCATCAGGACAGGAACTAGCACATTCAAGATCAATGGGCCAATTTCGGCCAAGTTAAACAGAACTCTCTACAGCAAAATTATTCGATAGCTCAATTACACAACTTAAAATACTGCTGCTAACTCCAGGACACCCTTAGCACTACCTTGAAGCCTTTATAGAAAACACTATAAAAACAGAACAGAGCAGAGGATGCTTTCCTGGAAGATACAGGCAGGCTTGCCTCGAGTTCTCAGGTGCTTATCAAGGACTTTGTGAACTCTGGCGAATTTGTTCACCTAACATTATGTCTAACTTACACCATGCTGAAAGATGACTTGCTAAGGATATGTAATTGGGTTTATTCTCAATTAGGAACGCATTGTCTCTGCAAGGATTTTACCCCATTTACTTCTTCCTTCTATTTTTTCTAGAGAACCGTTTCAGTGACTAACCAGAAAGCTTTCCCAGTCCCCACAGCAAGGAAGCAGTGAAATGCTAAACAAGAGACCTGAAGGCCCTATAACACTCCCTCTCAAAAAGCTGCTGCAGCTTCAGTCTCCAGTTATGCCACAGTCCAACAACCACACAAAAGAGCACGAGAAGTCAGAGTCCAGTATTTCACAACTTGAAAAGCAGGAGGTAAGACCTCAAACCTTTAAGGTTTTGAAGTGTCACTGTTCTCCATAACAAAAAAACAAACCCAAAACAACCTCCCCACACACACAGTTATCGTTTTCCTCGTGCAAGCAGTTTGTTGTTTGGGTCTTTTTGTTTGTTTGTTTTAAATATGGCAACCCTTTGAGTATTCAACTTATACTACTTTAAAAAGAGTTTTGCTCAAGCATCCCTAGCAAGCACTGAAGAGACTGGAAGTATCAACTTTCCCCAGCTTTATCACCTGGCCTAACGAAAGATGTTCGCTTTTCCCTTTCTTCTCCAACACCGTTATATCATTATAGCTACAGCACTGCTAATGTTTAATAAAACATCTTAAAAGGCACCTATGAAGTTACGACAGCTAATAGCATGGGTGTCTCACAGCAATACAGCTTCCCTGCCTGCTGGACTTACCCCAACCTCATCGCATCATGAAAATCACTGACCACGACACAAAGCCACTTACCTCTTCAAAAGAGCAGTATCAGTACAACAGCCAGCATTAAATATTTATTCTGCACATACCGGAGCCACTGAAACTAGAAACAGTGCTGTGTGGTCAGTGTTACCACACACTGACAATACTCTATTTATAGACTCTCTATTTATAATCATTTGAAATTACTACTAACTGCAGCAAGTAGTTCATTTTCAGACACGGTGATTTTCAAGCTGCTGGAGACGTGGAGGAGTTTTTACAAACAACTGGGTGAGAATGGAAATATACTGTAATACACCTTTTGCCAAGAACCCACTGAAGGACAGATAGCAGAATTCAAGAATTGCCAGCGACAAAACACAATATTAGGAGAAAGGGTAAGGCTTTCTGGCAAGGAGAATTCCAGTATGCAAGCTGTGACCAGTCATTTACATGCGTAGCTTTGAGAAAGGGAGAGCTTTTTACCAATGCACAACTCTCACTCACTGCCCTAGATAAAGGGTTCCCAAACCAAATTTGACATGTAAACCACTCCAAAGTTGTACACAACTTGGTACGGAGCTAGCAACTGCCACTACTGACAAGGGAATCGCATCCAGCGCTGCTGCCATCAGCCACACAAGAAGCGAAAACCCAGACCAACACAACAGGCTGAGGTCTCCAAACATTCCCAAACTCCAGGTCAAAGCAACAGTCAAGGGACTCTGCGAGTTCAGATGAATAAGCCAGCGCCTACGCTGAACACAGTAGCAAAACGAGCCTGCTTCTCGTGTCAGCGTCAAGCCTTATGGCAACTCAGCCCGTTCCTGTTACCCAACAAGAGTTTTTACACCCATTGCCTGATTCTTCTGCAAACAACTCCACGCTACCCTCAGCTGACCTGAAAAGCAAAACGTGGGTATAGATGCACCGCCATGCAGTGGATCCAGGGGACAGAAGCAGCTGATGTGAGCAGTGTATAAATGCTGACGGAATAAAAAGCTGCACTAGAAAAGCTGTGAGAACAATGGCTGGAAAGCTCCCCAGGCTCCCCTGCAGACACAATGAATGGGAGCCAAGACCATACCTCATCAAAACGAGACGTGCCGGCATTGTGGTGGGCAGCTCTCTAATCCATAACGATGGATGCCAAGTCTGAAATACTGCTGACCCACACAACCGGCTGTCTTTTCACAGACTGCGTTACAACCTCGTACCAGAAGTTGCACGGAACATGGCAGAGGCCTCCAACGAGCTCCGAGCAAAGTTAGGCGGTGTTCCTCTTAAAGCATCACCATCTAGGCAGGCAAGAAGACCGGCAGCTGATTCTGTTCAGGGACGAGAGGAGAAGAGCCTAAAAAGAGGGCAAGGGGAGGGAAAACTCAGGCAGAAGAATCTGAGGTAAGACTAACAGAAGTGTCCACTGCCTTCCAGGGCACTAGTGCGACATACCAGACCAAGCCATTGCCTGAAAGCCACTATTCACAGCTACGTTTGCTTCCATGGCCCGATCCAAGCAGCTACAGAAAGCCAGACCTTCTAGTCCAACTCCTTTTGGGTCACAACTTCCAGCGCCTCTGCCCTGTGTGTGCACACGCGTGAAACTTAAGGAGAACAGCACATGGCTCCACGGCAAGTTGGCAGCTTGACACCACACAGAAAAGTGCCTCCCTGAGAAGACAAACAATACTTCCCACGCTTTTTTTGTTTCTTAGGAAAAAACGAAACAAAACAAACTATCATGTATAGCACACAAGCAAACGCAAAATCTCTAGTGAGCTGGCCGCCTTCCTGTGAGATCCCTGTGGGAGATTTTGCTGCCAGCCCTGGCATGAATGAGCCCGGTGCCAGCACGGCACAGAAGCCATTGTTGTGAAACCTGTGTTGGTATTTGTTGTTTATTGATTCCCGTCACACAAGTACTCCGAAGGGGGAACTTTGTCCCTCACTTAGCACGCTAAAGGGCATCAAGAGGTCAACTTTCAGCTGTACTAAACCCTGTATGACTTAAGTTCTAGATGACTTCTCAGGCCGTTCTGCCCCAGACACCTGTACCCACCATCTCCACAGAGCCAGACCCTCTTCCATCCCCCTCCTGAGATACACACATCATGTGCCCTGCTCTCCACGTACCCGCTAAAATTCTGTAATTCTCTACCTCACTTACTCTAATTCAACCTAACAATACTCTACATCTAACACCTTGCTCAATTTGTTTCAAAGTCTGTAAAAGAAAATCTGACCTCCTGTTGTGCTTATGTAAAACCAACACAAGCTATCTGTGGGTTGAAGTGGTTTGAAGTAGACACTGCTTACCCCAGACCTACCAGACATTGGCAAAACAGTGTTAAGTGAGGTAATCCTCCTACACATTCCAGCCAGCCAGAATAAAGCAAAGCAGAAGTTATTTTAGACATTTAGGTAGCTGATGTTGAAGTTTGGTTGTTTTTAGAAAAACTTTTTCAAAGTAACATAATCAAACAACTAACTGGAATTTAGGAAGAGTTAGGGAATTTTAAAAAAAAAACAAAAAAAAAACAAAAAAAACACCAATCAACCTTAAAGGAACCACAGGTCTCTTCCTAAAGCAAGCACTACGCAGTGTTTAGGCCCGGGCAGAAGTAAAACACTCAAAACCAGACAGGCCTGAAGATAGATAGGTCACGAAGGAGCACACGCCTCCTCCTCCACATCGTTCTGGCTTTCCTCCTCCCATGGACGCCATTTGGTAATCATTTAAATGAAGAAGTGAAAATGAAGAGAGTTACAACCCTTTCAGAAAAATAACACAGCTGCTGGTGGGGGAGGGAGACTTCCAGAGGTCCAGGAATTTCTCCACAAAAATACAGCCTTTGATCTCCATGTTTAACTGCCCTTGCCCACCTTGGTTTTGTTGCTTTTCTAAACACAAAAGCAAGGGGAAAAAATTAAGTCATGGAAAAACGCTGGATACGTACTGATGCTTCAACAATTAAGTCATGGAAATATGCTAGATATATACTGACATTTCAATAATTGCATGATGAAGATCTGGAAAGGAGCATAGCCCAGGGGCCTTTGAGGAAAAAAAAAAAAAAAACACATACCCAATTTTGGCATAGCGTGAGAGCTGGCTGAAGATTTTATGAACAGAAATAAAAATAACGGATGCTTGACTTTGAGATGCACCGATTGTATCTTTACATCACCCTCATTAGAGTCAGTTAATTTGTATTTTTAACAACACGGCAAATAACATTTGTAATTACTTGTAGGGTGATGTTGTAATAGGTTACGGTTATACAGGCTTTAAATAGAAAAGCTTTATAATATCATCATTTGTTTCCAGTTCCTTTTAGAGGAAAAATGGAGGCTGACAGTTGGGCAATTTTCAAACAGAAAGATAGCAGGAATGAGGAAATCATTGTAACTGGCACTCTTCAGCTCTACCTTTCCTAACATTTGATGCTGGGGAAGCAGAATAATACACAGGGTGGGACAGGGAATATTTCCACTAATTAAACTTTAATATTCACTTGAGCAAAAAATAATTGTTGAAGAACTACTTGCTTTTTATGTAAATAGGCATCAACCACACTTCTTTCAGAAACGCTGCAGTAAAGAAAACACCAGTATGTTGCTCTTTGCATACTCAAGATTATGGATGAGATTGCACCATCATCTAAATCGTAACAGATTTAAAGATAAGTGCCAGACATTCGGAAAATCTATACTTGTAATACTGTGAGGCACAGCTTATGAAGCCTCCCTCCTCACTATTTAACTTCCTCTTCTCCAGAACTTCAGGTGGCAATAAAAGTATAAAAGCAAACAAAAGTCTCCAGCACCGTTTGAAATGTTCTTGCTGAAGAAGGGAAGATGTTGCAGCAGTTACTCAGGTAGGCAGGAAGGAAAGTTGCAGGGTAACACAGCTACTCACAGGAATTGTGTCTCCGACGGAAGCCTTTGGACTGAGTCAATGTTTCCACATGTCGATCCATGTAGCTCTTGGAGCACTGCTGCTGCGGAGAGATGATAATATCCTGATTCTTCATGTCCGTTCTCCTTGGGATATTCTGCGGGGCACTGCTGGAGATGGGCTTCTTTAACACTTTCCCAGTGCCATTCTGACTGGGACCCACTTGGCATCCAACACCGGGGATGCCCATTTCTGTCTGCTGCAGATCCCCACATTGTCTGCTGTCCCCTGGCCCTGGGATCTCCAGAATTTTCAGCTCAGTAATGTCACCTGCCCTAAAAACAGGAAAAGAAAAACAGACATTCAGGAATTTCACATTCAAGGTACCTTTGCAAAAAACAACCCCTACAGAAAAACGTGCAACACTACAGTGTTTTTTTTTTCTGGTGCCATTATCAACAGAAACAAGGAAAAAAGGGGATTTTACTACTCAAACACACAGGATATATCCACAGACATCAAAATATTAAACCAAAATGACGTGAATCTTCAAAATAACAACTCAAGTATTTCTAAACTGCACCTGGATTTTGTTTGAAAGGTTCTGTTCCTAGCTCAAACAGCAATCAGTCAAGCAGAAAATGGAAGCAACAAGCACAGACCTTTGCAGAAACCTGCATTAATTTAACAGTTTCAAGATAATATAATTAATCTCAGCCTTGAGGCTATTATTTTTAATCCATTTCTACAGAAAGCTACCCTTAGATGAGTGCAATTCACGCTCAGACAAGGATGGTGCTTTCCATTTCCTCAGAAAAGGGATAAAGGAAACTAATGTAGCACTGGGAAGGAGCCAAAACAAAACAAAGCAGTGGTTACAAAGACCTCCATTTGCCCTGATTGCAATAAATGAATCAGAAAATAGAGTGTCCTATTTTAAACTTAGTAAGCTTTTGTCCAACTGGGATACAAAAGTAGCAAGAGCTTGCTACAGACTTCCACACATCTCCTGGAAGAATATGGTTGTCGTCCTTCCTCACTGTCTTCAAAATCCAAGGGGGGGAAAAAAAAAAAAAAAGTGTATTGACTTCAGGGAATCAATCTGATTTAAAAATCAGTGACTCAGACTCTTAACTATCATAACATGCCAGGTAACAGGAAAATGTCCAGTGATGAGTGACTCTTATTCTTTTTAAGCACAATGTTACCAGGAACTGGTGGGAAAGAACTCCTGAGTTACAATACTGCTGCATTGATTCAGAATTTTGGTTCAAAACTTTCTCCTGCCTACACAGAAGAAACAACATGGCAAGAAACAGAGGGGATGGAGCTGGATCTAATAATTCCACTTAATTTCACCGCAGTGGGACAATAATTTTAATTGATCTACCACTCTGCTTTCTCTTCTGTCACACTTCAATTACATGTAGTACCCATGCCGAGGGCAAAGCTTTAAGAGAGTATGGCAGCACCCTTAGCTACCCAAAAACCTAACAATACAATGTATACACACAATGCACATATATATATATATACACACACACATACAGTCTTACACACAAATAACCTCCCAAGTATGAGCTACACCACTTCTAACACAGGAATCACAGAGCCAGAAAACAGCCTCCTGCACACAAACTAACAGAAACACGAGAGGCACTTCTCATCCAAAGACGCTCAGTAGCAGTAGGGAGATTTAAGGCAAAGAGCTCATTTCCGGGGAAAACCAAAACAAAATAGCCACACCACCACAGACCTTGCCTGGAAAAAGGCAGGAGGAAAAAAGACACTAACCTGAAGGTGACTTCTGGCACGAGGCACTTGACCCCATTATGGAAAGGCCGCGTCAGGGAAATGGTCTGGCTGACCTGATCCACAGCAGACACTCGTCCTTGATAGACTCCCAAGCTTTCTCCACAATTAATTGACACGATGCTCCCGAGCCAGTCCGTAGCCATATTTCTGGCACACAGTTGCTGTAAAGAGACACAGGCCTGGCCGTAACAAGATGCAGGAAGTGACAACCTGAATCAGCATCAACTGCATCCCCCGGCCCAGAACCCTGGCGCCCACCCAGGCTCTGCCTTTGTCAGCTTCTCTCTTCTTTGTGGGGTGGAAATCACATCCATAGAGACACCGACAACCACAGCGAGCGTGTAAATCCCTGGATGGGGCTTTGCCTATACGATTGTTTGTAACGCAGACCATCGTTCCCATCATTAAAGAAATAATTTTCTAACCGAATTCAAGACTAACAGCTTCCAACAGCAATATTTAGTCCAGTCTGCAGATAGTCACCCTGCAATTTCAAACAGGAAATTCATCTTCACTTCCCTTTTTAAAATTTTGGCATACAAACACTGGGGCAGAACAGCTTCTGCGAATACTCAGCAGTGAGAAGGTTGATCTCTGCACATACAAATGGAAACCAACACCTTTAAGGGAACAGACAGATACAGAGGGGAGGAAAAATAACCTAATGCTGGAGTTAGGACAAAAGTTTTCATGCTCTCCAGAGCCAGGGGTGTTAGTATTACTGCCACAATCAGGTAACTGAAAAAAGTTGCACTCCTTTCCAGCATTGAGTTCTACCAGAATACAGGGGGGAAAATGCACTTTGTTTAATTAGATGTGCAGTCCCACGTAATTCCCTCAGTTTTGATGCTTGACTGAACTTGTATCAACACACTTTGAAGCAGCTAAGCACATCTTTTGATGTGAGATTTCTTCCTCCAGACAAAGAACACGGGAAGATGACAGGCTCACTGGCATCACGGTAGCACAAAAGAGCTGACAAGCTCATAAATGAAAATGACTACTGTATATATTTGCCTTTCATGATGTAATCAACAATAAGAGGGAGAACACGATATTTACTGTAAGGAACACAAAGGCACAAAGCACAGGAGATAACTCAGGAAGATTAACATCAATATATAAACTACATTTCTGTGAGAGTCATTTTAATTCTCTTCAAGCCCTTCCTGGGCTGAGCTTCTTGGAAATAGATGCAAGGAAAAAAACACTGGAAATAACTAAGAGGCATGCATGCTACCAGAAAAAACTCACTTCCCCCAACCTTCAGGGGACTGAAAACAAGGGATGCTTCAAAGGGAAGCAAACACTAAATCTTGTCACTAAGCTGTAAATTCATCAGGAACAGCCTCCTCTCTTTCCTGTTCCTGCGTATTTATATTAACCCATGATAACAACGTCTGGATTCCAAGATGACAGCTGATAAAAAGCACTTTCAAAACACAGACAACACATCCCCAAGTACCTGCAGTAAAACTAAAATTTCATTCCCTTTCCTGCTTTTTGTATCTCCTTTTGAAAACAAGGGAAAGAGTTCAGTACACATCACCACCTCACAAGGATCCTTTTCAAAAATAAGAGACTCCTTTCACCAAGATAAAAAAATAATCTGTGTTTGCATACAAACATAAACAAGGGAAATTCCTCTTCTCAAAGGATCTCATTCTATTACTTTGTATGCAAATCTTCTGGAAGAGAATGAACTACACATGCAGCAAATTATTTACTTTATCACATGTGAGGAACAGAAGCACATTTATTTGTTTACATACATCCGGAAAATCAAACCTCCTGTCTAATATTTTGTCCCACATCCCAGGTTTTTGTCATAAAACTCATCTACTTTACATTCCTTCACATCTCTTATTTCAAACGTGTGTTACGGACGTGCCTGACCCTCTTGCAAGTTTTAAAAGGAAGCCAAGTCGCAAAGCTTACTCAAACGCGCAGGCAACGCTTTCGTAAACGATTTGTAAGCAACAACTTGGCATGTGAGGAGTCAATAGCTCTGCACACTGGGCTCTGCTGTTGGAGAAGAAAGATGCCGCTGTGGACGTTCTCCCTGGCTGAAAAGCGAGTTGGCCCTGAGGTGGCTTCGCTCACTGAGGAGGAGAACAGCCGCGGAGCCCTCCCGCCCTGCAGCCGAGAGACGAGCCGGTGCGGGGTACCTGCCCGCCCGGGCCGGCCCGGGGCGGACTGCCTCCTGCCTGAGCCCCACGGGAAGGCAGAGGCCGGCCCGCAGCTCCACGCAGCCCCCAACCCGCGCTGCTGAGGCGGGGGGGGGGGGAGGCGCTGGGCCTAGCGCCACAGGCCCGAGCCTCCCCACGGCCGCCGCGGGCGGGCCTAGGGCCTCACGGGAGGGCCCAGTCTCCCCCCGGCCCGCTCCCCCCGCACCCCCCGGGGCGCGAGGAGACGGGAGGAGGGGTGGGGGTGCCGGCAGGAGGGGTTGGGAGACGCGGAACACCCCCCCCCCCCCCATCTCACCTGCGCCCGCCGCTCGCTCCCCGCCGCCTCCCCGCCGCTTCGCTCACTTCCTGCCCCGCGCCCCGCCTGGGAGCGGCGCTCAAGCCACCGGCGGGCGACCATAGAGAGGAGCGGGGGAGATGGCGCTCTATGGGGCGCATGCGCGGTAGCGCGGAGGGGGAGAGGGGTGTGGAGGGGGGGGTGAGCGGGAGGTGGAGCATGCGCGTTGGGAACCCGCCGCGGGCTGTGCAGCGCCGAGCGCCGCCGTGCGCATGCGCAGGGCAGGCGGCGTGGCGGGGCTGTCCCCGCAGCCGTCCCACCCCAAATCCCCGAGCCCTTCGCGGTGTAACGGGCGCGCCCCGCCATCACAAACCCGCCGTCTCTATCCAACCCCCGTGGCCACCGCGACGTGTCTGTCCCAACGCCACCATGTCCACCACCCCTCTGCCATGCGTCCTCCCTCACCTCCGCGGCCTCCGTCACGTCCCCACCGCACCTCCATCACCTCTGTCACCGCTCCACCGCCGCCGTCACGCGTCCTCGGTCACCAACCCATCACCTCCATGCCACCCTCGTCGCCTCCACCACATCTGTATGGCTGCTGCCACATGTTCTTCGTCACGTCTCCATCACCGCTGCCAAATGTTCTCCATCCCCTCTGTCACGCCTCCATCACACCTCCATCATCATCACCGTCACACCTCCATCATCACCGTCACACCTCCATCATCATCACCGTCACACCTCCATCATCATCACCGTCACACCTCCACATTCTCTGTCACACCTCCATCACACCTCAACCGCCTCCACCACACCTCTATCACGTCCCTCTGACTCGCCGGCAGACTCACGGACACATTCCTGCCCTAATTTCTCCTCGGCTCCATGAAAATCAGCTTTTCCCCACTCCAGAGCTGGAGGCTGTTTTGCTCATTACTTGGAGGAAGGAGCGGGTGGGGTGCTGGATCCGTGCGCTGGCTGACCTTCCCGAGCTAAGCGGCAGGCTGTGCCGGGGATGTTAATTAAAAACAAAAACATTATGATAGCAGTCGGTAACAATAACAACAATAACACGAAGGTGAGCGAGGTCACGGTGGGAGGAAGGCTCCTCTCCTTAAGAGCAGCCTTTCCACAGCACAGCCACAAAATTAGAAATAACTCCATGGTACAATGGGTGGCACTATTTAAAAAGCCGCTGAGTTATCCAGCTGTCTTTTATGTCCCGGTGATGGATGGAGTGAAATATTAACCTTTCTGCACTTATTTTGATTTTTATACCTATGTGGGGCGAGAGTAGCTCATGCCATAGAGCATCCCAGAGCAGGGATTTGGGGAGAAGCACACTTTTCAGCAAAAGAATGAATTTTGCCAAGATTCCTGATATTATATCCCCATTCGAGGGCTTGGCTAAACATTTGCGCCTCATGAAAATGTGCCTGTAGGACAAGAGTGGTTTCCTACCCCACCAAGCTGGAAGCCCTGGCACAGACCCCAAGTTTCCATATAATCCCTTATTATCTGCATGGCAATTTAATGTATACTGCCCTCTTCTTTTTTAAGGGAAGCTAGGCAAAGCCTCAGAAATAATTTCACTTTGAGGCGGGGAAGCATGGAGCAGGCAATGGCCTGAACCATCCCTCCATGGATTGCCTCCCTGAGAGTTGTGAAAAGCGATTTTCAAGCTATTGTTTCTTTTTTTTTTTTTTTTTTAGGGGTAGAAGGGCTAGTCCTGATTTTCAGTTAAATCCTGAACTGAGCCAGAGCTTGGCATCACCTCTCTGCAAATCCCACTTGAGGCTTTAGCTTCTTTATATACACAGGGAGAGCACCACTGCCAGCACTCAGGAGGACTAAAAACTCCCTCTAATGCCACTGGTGTCACAGCCCTGATAGTAAAGGGACAGCTAGCTCATGTCCCCATAGGAAAAATCCTGATCCAACATATCCAAGTCAGATTTTTAAAGATGATAGAGAGGTGTGGGGTATCATCTCCCCCCACCCCCAAAAAATAGAATCTTTTCCCAGTGTAATAAGACCAGCAAGAAACTTAAGAAACTTTCATATATGTATTTATTGGGTTAGAAATAGTGTGCAATTTATATCCCAGCATATGGATCTGTTCCACACAGGTACAAACAAGCAGGAATCGCTGCTCCATTTGCCATGAGAATTCACCTTCACGCTGGCTAAAGCAGACTGCAACATAAGGCAGTGCATTTCCTGCAGTCCTCAAACCCTTGCCCCTTTTACTAGTCTGAATATAGAAATCTATTGCTTGCTAAGGAAAACCCCCAAACTAGTTAAAAAGCAGCAAATACATAATCTGAAAGCCAGAAGTGTTCTACTGCGCCTCTTGCTGCTTCTTGTCCCTTATTCTCAGTCCTTTGATTTTTCAAGGAGACTTCTTGTTAGGAGTTTAGCCAATACCTTATTTTGTGAACAGCACTACTTGTGGACCTATTTTTTAAAATGTACTTTTTTTTTTTTTTTCCTAGTAGGCTGTCACCAAGGTTTGGTAGAAACACTCAGGGATTCATTTCATAAATTTACATTCAGGGAATTTGGCTGTGCGAGGGTGTACCCAGAACGGGTCCACTGGAGATGGCTGCTGGCACAGGGGTACGTCTGGCCCCTGCATCACCTCGAGAGCCCTTCAGAAGGCAGCTGGAGCAGTGGGGAGAGCCCGTTCCCATCGGCACAAGGAGCTGAAGGCTTTGCAAGCAGCTCTGCCAAACAAGCTGGAAAGAGTTCCACCCCATGGGAAAAGGCTGGCCAGGTTTCTCAGGGAGGAACCCGCAGGTTTATTCCTATTTGGTGAAGGGAGGGAGTTGCCCGGGGCAGCTCCGGCTCTGCCTGTGGCTCCGGGGAGGGCAAGGACACCCCTACCAACGTCCCACACCGCTTCTCCCAGCCCAAAGCATCCTCCTCCCCACCGCAGGGCTGCGGCTCCCCTGGACCTCCCCAAGAGGGATGAGCGGGCTGGACCTCTGGTGAGTTTTTCTACAGGCAAGGGCGATGGAGCTGGCTAGGGGGGCTGCGGGGAGCCCGACAAAGCTGGCTTTGTTCCTCCCCCCTCGCGTTTACATGAGATGAACAAGCCTCCAGTGAAACAACACAGCAAGGGGCTGTGCTAGCTTCTAGAAAGCATCAGCAAAAGCAGGCTGAGTGTCTGACTCCAAGGGCTGGCTTTCTTCTGCAAAGTGATGCTTCCTCCTGCAGCTTATGGAGAGCTCCTCATGGGGAAACGCTTCTTAATCTGGAAGCACTCGCATTTCTTGTATTTCATTGTCAGTCCGTACTGAGGAGTGATGTCCACCTCCTCCCCAGGGCAGAGGCTGAACTCCAGCTGCTGCAGCATGATGGCCAAGAAGAGGAAGACCTCCCACCGGCCAATGGACTCCCCGATGCATCGCCTCTTCCCCAAGCCAAAAGCCATCACTTTGTCGCTCTCTGTCCTGCTTATTTCGGTCCCCGTGGCATTGAGGAACCGCTCGGGGTTGAAGGCTGAGGGGTCCTTCCAAAGCTTCCTGGAGCAGAATAGAGACACACTTGAGGAAACCATTTTCACCCATTGTGATGGGGACAGCAATCAAAAAAAAAAAAAACAAAAAAACAAAAAAACAAACCTCCTTGCAGAGAAACATTGCAATGCTTTCTTATGTCACCATCCAAAAACTTTGGCAACCTCTATTGCTGATCTAAAATGCCAGCTACGTGTCAGACCCCATCAGCTCAGTCTATTGAAACCTCTGTTTCAAACTCAGATGGTGTTTGCCTGTGCAGATACAGGAGATGGATTTAATTCAGCATGAAACAGCTAGAGATCCTGCAGTTTCAGCCAAAAGGAGAGCACAGAAATGGGTCAGCAGCTCTTCAAAAAAGAAAAGATGGAGACCTGAGGATCTTCCCAACCTTGAATCCTCCCAGCAAAACTTCCCAACCTGTCCCAGTTCAGCTGCTGGGAGGTAGCAGGTGGGGTTTTCCCAGTGTCTTAGCTGAGAATTTCTGCTTGGGTATGGGGAATCCTCTCTGGCCCTGAAGACAGTGTTCCCATTGCAATGCTCACCAGATTGTGCAGGAGCAGAAGGAATATTTTAATATTTCTGTGCTGCTGGGCTATTTGGATACAATTGTTTTGAGCTTCTGATCCAAAATATCTGATCTGGGGACCACTTTCTGTATGAAGCCTTAGTCAGACTATTACCCCCCACACCCAGGAGGGTCTCTACTGGAGACCAGTGGAGGGATAAGATGGGGCTTTGGTTTCCAGATCCCCTTTCATTCACCAAAGCTGATTATCAACGATAACGCCACAAGCCTATTGAGTTTAGTGAGAATCATGTCAGGACATTTTTCTCCCCGAAAAAGGGAACCGGGCAGTTCACATGCAGAGGCGTCAACCCAGATCACAAGAGCTGCTTGGCAGGAGGATCCACCGATTCGTGGATATTCAGCAGCCCAAGCTGCCAACCCTCGTATCACATATGTGGAAAGGCCAGTGCATTGAGGACATCACCACGTTACTGCACATAAATTGGGTAAGCCCTGGTGTTGGGGAGCTGCTGAACTGGTGACCAAGTCAACACAGAACACCTCCAGGCCCAGGAGATATCAAGTCTGGGCTCAGCATCAAACCCACACAGTTTTTGGTCCAACCTGCCTTTTCCTGCCTTCACGACCCACTTGGCTTTTGGAATGTTGCTCTAAAGGCTCAGAGCCATCTTAATGCCAAGCAAAGCCACCCCATCCCAGCCAGATAAGCATGGGGGATTTGGTATACTCACTCATCATGATTCACTTGCCACTGGTTGATAAACACGCAGGTGTTCTTGGGAATGTAATACCCATTCAACGCTGTCGCTTTTGTTGTACTGAAAGAAATATGGGCGGAAGGGAAGAGCAGTTAAGAAGAGACCCTCAGCTTCATGGCAAAACAAAGCTTGGCAAGTCCTCGGGGTGTTTAATTTCCAATGCTTTATTTGTACTCTTAGGACTGGCTAGGAAATACCCCAGTTTGTATCTGGGAGACTAAATAGTCTTGTTTAACAGTTTTCCTCAAGCAGAAAGATTCCAGTTTCAGGAAGCTGGA